TAGGGAGTACTGATGGAGGCAGTCTGGGATGACCTCTGAGGAGGCCAAACAGTAGCTCAGCCTCAATCACTGCCATTCATTTGGAACGCTATTAAAGCCAAAATTCTAAGCATTCTTTATTCATTGTTTCATCCCATGCTGCTCAATGGGGGTCTGAACAGACATTACTTCAGATGTGTGCCAAGAACACAACTTTTTAATAAGGTTTTCCATACAGTAGGCGCAGAACACCTACTTCAGAGGCACCCTGGAGCAAGAGGCTCTAAAGATCTGGATAAGGGCCATTGCAGGGCACTTATGTTGAGCAAAAAGGCAAAGAAGAGATTGCTGAGAGACACACATTTAATGTAATGCTGGTTTTAGTCTTTAATTCCTTGCAAACATGCCTGGAATTACATTAAATGGGAGCTAATTTCATAATTCAGTGAATGACCAGTGTTTGCACATGCACTTATGTATGGTAGAGTTTCTCTCTATATGTAGAACTCAGCCATGGATTCAAAAATAACAATTCATCAATGATGCAAACTTTTAGGATTAGGTTTAAACAGAGCAAGCAGGACCTGTAGCAGGGTATTTCTAAACACAAAAGTGGGCAACTGATAGTCCTCAGATATTTTGGCCTACAACTTCCATCCTCCCTCACCAGTGGCTTGGCTGGCTAGAGATGAGCAAGCTGTAGGATAAAACATCTTAGAGCATCCCACTTTCTCCAGCCCTGACCTAACACCAACACTCTGGTATAAGGTTCCAGCAGCCAGCCTGCTTTTTCCACTTCCTGGATATAAGCATCTGTTAAGGGCTCAGACAAGCCAATTTCTCTCCCATCCCATTTACTGCTCTTCTTTTCCAAATGACTGAGCATCCCACGGCTTGTGGGCTTGCTGAGTGTGCTTGTTCCTCACTGAGCTGGCTTTTGTTTTCTTTGAGTTATAAAGTAAGTACCTCTGTGTGTGCAGAGAGTCTTGAAAAAAGCAAAACCTAGCCCTGTCTATTGAATTGCTCCATTCAACCCTCTATGGATCACCCCATTATGGAATATCCATAACCAATCTGTTCCTGCTCAAGTGATCCAAAAATCTGGACCAGTTCTGATGGTGTGTTTCAAAGAGAGCTGAAAGCAAGCAGCAACTATGGGAACTTCCAACGGTAAATGCAGCAGTCAGCAAATGCAAGTATAGAACTGTAAACATCAGAAATAACACATCCCCAAAATAAAGTATCTGTCTTCTAAGTCAACTGTTTACAGTTGTAGATAAAATGCTGCACTGGATTAAATTGCAGGCAGCAACAACATGATTCAACAAGTCGGTTATTAAACCCAATTTTTATTGTTAACATTGCAAATTTTTGCCCCATGCATACAAGCAGCTCTTTAATTAAAAAAATAGCTTGAAGCTATAATTTTATTGTACATGAGGAAAACCATGAAATGTAGGACTGTTACCAAACGTGAGTAAGCTCTCTAAAAGAGTGCTTTTACTCTTGGGAAAAATGAAACTTTAGTGCCATCAACGGGCAGGTGACAGATTGCAAGAGGGCAAGAAAATGTAAATGCAACACGTATCCTACAATATTAGCTTCAACACACAATCCAGAATATTTGGGTTTAAAAGTATATCTCTGCCTAAGGAACAGGTCAAGAAATAGCAGATGAAATTATTCTGAGAAATATAATTACAATCAGTACAGTTTGTTTTGTATGAGGATTTTTTCTTTTTCATTGTTACCAAGTTGGTAGGATCTGACTGTTCCTATTAAAGGCTCAAATCCAGTTGTTATTACACTGACAGAAGCAGTTGTCAGTAGATGTGAAAGTGGGGCCATTCTGCTCCCCACTGCAGCCGCGCCCTTTAAAATCTGTTCTGGAGGGCTGTGACACCTTCTGGAGATTTTTAGGTCGCGGGGAGAGCTGCAGGGGGAAGGCGGGTATTGGCAAGTCACGTGGGCATGCCTTGTCTTTATGTCTGAATCCAACATCCATGGTGAAGTGCGGTATGTAGAAGCAACAGCTTATTGCAAGGTTTTCATGCTTTCAACAAAGGTGTGATTTTCCTAAAACTGATCATGTTTCTTTAGATGGCACAAACTTCAAAGATGTTTTGAGATGCAACTTTTGACATCTAGTTTGGCTAGTCTGATTTTAAACTTGTCAATATAACCATTATAAAATCAAACCACACTTTGATTTTAAGTGTGCCAGGCAAGTACTTGGCTATTTAATCACACCTCATAGCACTATTAGATAACTTGGTATATACTGAGTAGAATTTGGCTGCACCCAAAAGTATGGCACTTTAGAGAAAAGTAGACTCGTAAATAAAATTCCGTGTTAGTACCCCCCTCCCCCATTAGAGCCCTCATATGCACCTGGAATACATTCTGTGGATTTTAACAATTTCTTCATTTCCAGATGGTGGATTGATGTTGTCCACTAGAAAAAAATCTGGACTAGGGCTGGGGAGAACATGAGTTCAGCATCTATCTCTGCTAGAGACTCAGTCTGAACAGAAGTCTTACAGTCTCCCAGAGGCTTAGTGCTCAATTTGTAAACACAGACAAATTTAGCATTAGAGTGACTAATGCCGGGTTCAGCCAAACATTCATTGTGGCCTCCATTTTGGGCCACATTAAGGATGCATTTAATATAGGTGCAAAAACTGTGTCATTTACAAGCTTATGTGTTGACTGTGAATTTTATCTTTTTAGAAGGGACTTTTTATGTTGCACAATGAGTAAGACGGGGATGCAGTTTTTTTCTGTCTTGGGTATGAATAACACATGCAGGACTGCTCAGGTTTGTACTTGCCCTCACTTGTGTGGAGAAACCTGCAAAACAGTAATATATGTAGCTGTTATGAGTTCTACCTACAGTCTGAAACGACACAGTTCAGACACAGATTTGCAATCTCATGCACTATTTGCATTCAATAATAGCAATTCTCACTTAAAAATATTAGAATGATTTTGGCTGGTACACTTGTATTACTTTTCCTGTTATTTAATAGAAGTGTAATGCTCATAATTTAATTGTAATGTATGCATCCATTAAGATTGCTTTTGACATAGCTGCCTTTAGTTTAACCCTGTAAGAACACTGAAATAAAATCCCCCCAGATACATTTTAATGTAAAGCAGCCATATTATATATCAGCACATTCGATAATTTATAGCACTTTTACATGGAACAAGTATCTTTTCACTTTCATATTGGCAAGATCTGAAGTGTCAGCATTCAGAGTTAAGCAAAATCAAAGTAACAGCTTGTGGTCAACATTTTGAGGAATCAAGGTTTACAAAAATCACTATGTACCATTTTTTATTCGTCTTCTACCCAAAAATTGGCACTAAGGGCATTATTACAGGCTCCATCAAAATGGATTAAACCAAAATACAAAAACAACAAAAGCATAACAATTCCAGAATTAACAAACAGAGTACCCAATCCAATGAATCCACATACAGGGCAACTACCTTCTTGAATAGTCTTATTTGCTTGCCCACAGGGCTGCAGAGAAATGGAAGATAATTTCACAGCCTGAGAGTGACTGCTGAAAAGACCCCCTCTCAGGCCTGTGAAAGCTGTGGTCTTGCAAAGTGGCTTTCCAAAGGATCTTAACAGCTAGGGAGAAAACTTGCATGGGAGAATGTGGTCTTTCAGGTAGCAGGGTTCCAAAACACATATGGCTTTATAGGCACAAAGAGCATTTTGAATTCTGCCTGAAAGTCGACTAATATTGAAAGAAGCTGCAGCAGCAAGCGTCATGTACTCCCCATCAACAGTTAGGCTACAGTATTCTGGGCCAGAGCTTTCAATATGACCCATACAGTGCACATTGAATTTTTCTAAATTGGATGTGCCTAAGGCATTCATGATTGTGGCCAGATCAGAATTTAGGAATGGGTACAACTGGTCCTCCATTGCCGAGACTTGGGCATCCAGGTTCAGGGTTCAGTCCAAGAATACACCCAGATTGCAAACCCAAGTCTTCAGTGGGACTGTAACATCATCCAGCAGCAGCTGAATTCCTATTCCTTGATCTGTTTTCCAAATGACCAAAAGTACATCTGCCTTGTTTAAACTTTCAGTTGTTTTCTCTCATCCAATCCATTACAAATATTGATCACTGATTCGGAACCAAAACAGCTTTCTTGGAATTGGAAGGAAAGGACAGAGCTGGGTGTCATCAGCATATTAGTCACATCAAACACCAGACATCTGGACAATCTCCTACAGATTTCATTCTCCCTCCCTCCCTCCCTCTCCCCATTGAACAGGCATCACCCAGCATCACATTCTCAGATTTCCCTGCCAAAGCCTGGAGCAAACAAACAACAGTGCCTTCCCGTACCACCTCAGGATACAAGGTTGATAGTATTGAAAGCCACCCAAGGTCCAGCAGAATTAACAGAGACATATTCCTTTCCTTCCATTGCCTGGCACAGTTCATCCATCAAGATGACCAGAGCAGCCTGAGGTCAGATTGAAATAGATCTAGATCATCTGCATCATCTAGAAATCCCTGGTGCTGAGAAGTCACCAGCACTTTGTTCAGGCATGGAACAGTTCAAATGATCTGATGCAATGGGGGTCAGGGAAAGACTTTTGTTCAACAAAGTACTTACCATTTTTATTCTTCTCACAGCTGGTGTTTGCTGGCTGTGTTTAGAAGTAGGAGCAGCAAAGACCCGACCCAGCAGTGGTATGTCTTCCCTCTCCAGGGATCCTGACCACATTTTCAGGTTGTACAAAGTGAAAAGTCTCCATTGCAACTGGACAAGCAAGAGCCAAAATTATGATCACCAGAAAAAGTTCCACTGGACAACTCTTGATTAGATGCAGGGATGGTCTAGAAATACAATTTCTTATTCCAAAAGTGAACCTAATTTATATAAAAGTGTACACAAAGTGAGATGGGGAGAGAAAGAGCATGTATGACTGAAGGACAACAAACAGGCATCTCGATCTTTCTGGAGAAAGGAACACACACACACAAATATAGGTTTGGGCAGTTTATTTTATTACGTCAATATTAATAGCTAATTCATCAAGGTTTACTTTTACCAAAGATTGCTGAACATGCAAGACTGGCGTGTTTAACCTAAACGCCCTACTTCTCCAAGTATGCAGAAGAAATTCATCATTTTCAGGATGGAGACTGTGCACCTAGGTATGCATCAAAATGTTCGAAACAGCTGATTAGGAAGGTAGCCAAGATGCAAGAAAGATGTCTGAGCTTCCTTCTCAAGGGCAGCCAACTCTTGCACCGTAGGTGCCAAGATATCTACATGGCCTTTATAAGTTCCACCTGCCAAAGAACCAGAGTCTACATTGAGTCTATGGTCAAACGACAACATTTTTAGTACTGTTTAAGCCATATGTATTTATTACTGGTGTTTGGGTTTAAAAAAAATAAAACTGGTACAGTTTAGTTACTGTACCAGCCTATTGTTGTAATCTGCCCATAGAGGCAGTTTACAAATAGTTTAAATCAACGGGAGATTCCAACTGGCTTACAGTTGGCTCTATAAAGCAGCAGCAGCAACAACCCTCCCCTTCCCTCCCCTCCCCTCCCCTCCTCCTACTGGTCATAATCTAGAAGTACTTTAGACTTCTGCTGCACTGAGTTTTGAAGCAGTGCATACCCATACCCTGCCAAATCATTCAGGAGTTCAGAAAAAGGTTAAGAGTAACATACGAGACAGAGGAGTTCACTGGCCCAACTCTCCTCCATCACATTTAGGCTCTTCAGCAACTCTCTGAAGAGGAGAATCTCTTTAACCCATGGGAGCATGCCATGGGAGTCAGAGCAACTCCCCCCCCCCAAAAAAAAGCTATGCAGCTCACATGAAATCCCTATGGGTACAGGAGGATCCCCTCATCAGACAGTTGCTTCCGTAAGTGCACAGCAACACGTGCAATGGAGAAAAGGAGCAGGACTTAAGCACTTCTCTGCATGCACTGCTGTTAACCCTTTTATGATTGCTCCAACAGGGACAGGCTCTTTATCCTGTCCAGTGCTAGGCACCTAGAATACTTTACTGTTGCCGATACAAAAAGTAATTCTGTATTAGTAAAAAAATCAACATTTGAGCAGGCTTCAGGGTAATGAAGAATAGACCCCATTTTCAATTAGCTGAAACCACTCAAATGTTCTGATCCTTGCACATGCTCAGTACCTGCTCCGGAGTGTCTACATGGGGGCGAGAGGACTGCACAGGTCAGAACAGAAACTCTCACTCTGTGTGCACAACTTAGTTTGCGTGACACTGGATTTGCTCATGGCTTGATTAAGGGAACTGCTAAAATGGCCCAAAACATCCCACGTAAAATCAACCCAAACTAGTTTTATTACCTTTTATTACTGAATTGTAACTGTTCATCATAAAAATAAGAAGCTATGATAATATCTTTTGGTACTGACAATTTGTCTATTTCTGGTAAGCACATTTCATTTTTATGCCATTTTTCTATTGTTTTATAATCCACTCAAAATGTGTATCTTAATGATATTTTAACTGTGCTGCCAAAATTAAGACAAAGTGCAAAATCTGTAAGATGGCTAATTTCCAATCTGTACATTAGTCAGACACACACAGATCAGAACATTTCATACAGGAATTCAAAGTGTGAATTTTCCAAGCATCCCTAAATATCTTTAAAGGAAAATAGATCTAAAAACTGATTTTGAAATATACTGTCACATTAACATGTTGTCTATTAGTATTCTGAACACAGACAGTAACAGACAATGCTGATAGTACTGCAGTTCCGGACAACTGTTCATTATAAAAATATTTTTGAGTCACTTAACTAAGTATTACAACTAACTGGAAAACTCAGTTCCTAATATTCCATAATTCTCCACTTACCACCAGCAGCTCTCCTTTTCCCATAAGTGACTTTGCCATCAAAATCATCCACTGGGACTTTAATATCAGGCTCGATCTGAGAAATTGTACAATTCAGGTGCTCTTCAACCTCACCCAACAGCTAAGAAAAGTTCAACCACAAAACACAAGAAATGTTGTTATAGCATGGTTCATGAGCCTCTATGACAAGCAACCACACCACTGAGAGAGATTAAGGAACAAATAAAGAGTTGGCTTATTACACCAGGGCTCTCGAATGTGCACAAATTCACAAAAAGACATCACCCTATGGTTTAGAGTCACACTTTTTTTTTATTAAAGTCAAACATGATCGCCTCAAACGTTCTGTCCAGTGGTGGAATGGATTTCTGTTTCTCCGTGTTGTTCTCCCCACCACACACAAATCTGCCCCTGAGGATTGGTGAGCCCTCTGGAATTGTTCTGGGACATGCAAGAGAGGCTGCACGTGAAGGATGTCCTGTGGCACGAGCAAATTCACTCTAGCCACCAAAGTTAAGGACTTTAAAATCTGAACTCAGTGGGACTTATTGCTGGATCATCCTGATCTTTTAAGAGTTGATAAATTTGTAAGCTTCTTTAAAAAAAAAGAGTCTTACAACACCTACTGCCAATATACTCAGCACCAAAGGCTACCAAATTCATACATCAACAAATATAGCAAAGTCAAACTTCATCATCATCATCTACTACTATCTGTTGCAATCCCATCCTTCCCTGCTTCCAAAGCCAAAGTAGTCTTCATGACTGACTCACTTGTCACCCCTTTTCTCTGGGACAGCTTTTGCTGCCAATTATTAAATGGCCATTTTGTTACAATTTCTCAAAATAAAAATCCCCTCCATTTCTGGAAAAGCTCTAACCTCATCTCTCTTGCTCCCAAAAGTACTCTGAGACCTTGGCTAAACAAAGCCAATAGTATTTATGCTGTGCTCTGTTGTGTTGGGAAAGGGGCCAGCTCTACCAGAGGCTGCAGCCAGTCCTCCAGCAGAATAATGCAAGTGACCCAGTGGGGAACTGTTCCCTGTAGCAAATTTGAGTTCCCCTGCCTCCAGTCAACAGTGCTCCAGAAGGCCTAGCTCCCTAAACACGTGGTCATAGACTACGAATGGCAGAGGGGAGAGAGCCCCATCGAAGTGTGCCAATAGTATGAGAACACAGAAAAGTTCTAGAAGAGCCCTATTATTGTTGAGCTGGCAGGACTGGAACTGGCTGAGGTCTACTCCAATGAAGATAAGACCCCACAAGACTGAAACAGCCCTGTCTGTGGAATAAGAGAAACCACTCATCTCAGGAAAGCCTCCACCCACTGAGGGAGAATGTCAAACTTTCCTCTAATGGCTGGGCTTTGAAGCTTTCCTGTTTATTTTGTGCTCTTGAGGCAATGAGCACCCAGCGTGCCTGACTTTCAACATGCAATCTTAGACACAAGGGCATTTAGCAGTCCTAGTAAAAAGCTTACCTGCATCTCATTGTACCAAATGGTGCAACCGCCCTCATCCTTCAGCCTTGTATTATAACAGCCTTTTCCACGACTGGGGCATGAATGATACCAAACCTATGTAAGGAGTTTGAGCAACATGTTAGGAGACAAAATCAATGAGTATCTAAGCAGTAATCATACCTTTAAAAAAAGCATGATTAAGAATCCCTTTAAAATGTAATAAAATTTAATCATGTAAAAAGATAACGAGGCAAAGAAATTAATGCTAAGTGGAAATCTTATTACACACAGCTTCTTTTTAATGGGGATAATAACAGTGGGAAAATACAGGTAAAAAGGGAATATATTTATTTGAGAAAAATGAGATTAGAAGTAGCTGCAGTGAATTTTAATTAAATGATAAAAAATGTGTTTGAGTAGAAAGGATAGCGATTGTTGATTTATAGTGATTTTTAAAAAATACTTGACATTTTATGTAACATTTGTTTAAGAAATGTTGGTGTTTCTTTGTAATTTTGTATTCTTTTTCTTCTTTTTTAAATTTTACTGCTATTAAAATAAAAATTAACAAAGAAAAAAATTCATAAAATTGTTCTAACACCAAGTTCCTAACATAATTGTACAAATATTTACATTTTAATATCTGTTCTATGGATTGCTGTAAATTGGCTGGAGAGCTTTGGCTGTGGGTTGGTACATAAATAAATAAGCAAGCAAGCAAGCAAGCAAATAAATAAATAAATAAATGTTGGGTTCCTTGTAAGAAGAAGAAAGGTGGAGTATAAATGTAATGTAATAACAATTTTCAATATAACTTCCCTGACATAGTATCAGGTACAAGAAATCATTGTTCATGACTTTATGAATCAACCTTGGAATTTTTGGTTCTGAAAGGTGAGACACATATGCAAACAAAAGAAGCTTATTTATTTACTAAAAGCTTTTGTATGCCATCCTATTATACAAGATCTTTAAGAAGTTTCTTAAAGCAGAACATTAAGAGAGTCATCAAGCCAAAGTATCTTATTCTATCACATATTTATGTTCCATTGAAGATCTGCTTACCTTTTCTTTCTCTGTTGCCACTAAGGAAACGGCCAAACCCATGCTGAAACATACACAATTATTTTAGTTAATATGTCCAATACACAAAAACAGAAAACACAACAACAGTTCCAAAAGTACCGTTCCGCTCTTCCCACTCTGCCAATCCGATGAACGTAGTTCTGTTTTTCATCCGGAAGTGTGACATTGATAACTGTTTAAAAAAGAAGGCATTACATATCAGGATGTAAAAAGAAACCCATGTATTTTGTGCTCTAGATTTCTATGGTACTGGAACCTATAGCATCCTTTTCTATGGGTGAAGCTATAGATTATAACTGCATTATGTAAAAGATACGGGAGTCAGCACTCAGCATACTAGGGCATTTGCCTGGGCCTGTGCACCCTGGCAGGGCCTTGTAGGACAGCTGCCTTTCCTGCCCCCACCCCCCCAGCACTTAGCACGTGACCCACTGGTAGTGGCATCACTGCTCCCATCACCTGCCTCTCTGTCACAGGTTTTCCATGCTGGATTTGCATCCATTACAGCACTGCTGCCTTAAGAGGAAAGCTGTTGGCTACAGCAGCACCACTGAATGTGTATCCAAAAGGTAGCTAGTGCTGGGGAGGGGAAGGGGGAACTTGACAGAATCCTAATTGGCCTGTGCTCCAAAATATGAAGCTAGGCTGGAGTCACCATCACCACCTCATTACTCAGCCGATATTTCATTTCCCTACTGACTCATGTTTGCCTTTTGCCTATGTGTGCATAGATATGATGCATATGGCAGGATTAGCAACACAGGGACTTGCTTTATGTGAGGTTCCACCACTGGTCCATCCACTTCAGTACTGATTGCCATGCGCAACAGGTTTCAGAGAGCAGGCTCAACGGAGAGCACTGCTTACCCTGATCCACCTGGAGATGCTTGCTGGGTCTGTATCTTGTTCCTTACGCATGCAAAGCATGCGCTCTAAGACTGAGCTATGGCTCCTCCCCTAAACTAAGCACAGTTGATTTTAATGAGAGCTAGTGCATGCTCAACTCTGTCACTAAAATCTATGGCACTCCCAAATCTTAACATTAGGATGAATTCAGACGCTTACTCTTTTTTGTAAAACAAAAATACATATAAATGAATGATTAAATAAATTTTCAGATTTGTCTTAAACAGTGGAATCACATGATAGGACAACCCAGAAAACGCAATTTTTGCAGTGAAACACCACTCTTGGTGCAAAAACAGGGTTTCAGGGATTTGGGAAAGGCTAACCATAAATCTTCCCCTTTTTTAGGAGTTTGGCAGGTGGCTTTGATACTTGTGGTCCTTACAGAAAAAGGATTTGAGTGGAAAGGTGATGAATTTTGACCTCTGAGCATATCCCAGTCCAAACCCTTCCCACCTCACACAAACCCCCTTTACAGAGGATTCTGTACCAGTTTACCTTGGATTCCCTTTAAAAAAAGGGAGGGCTGCACTGTCAGCCTTTCCTGAGCCCAGAGAGGCTGAGGACCAGGGCCAACAGTTGCTCCTCTACAGACACTAAAGGGGGCAAGAAAAAACAGAAAAGGACCTTGCCAAACTGTGTCAAGGGAAATCAGGGATGGTGTGTGTGGGCAGATCTGAACCCTCTTCTGAGGTGATGCCCAGGATGGGTACGTGCTGTCCTTCGGTAGCCGGACTTTCCACAGACATTGTCCCAGCCGAGGCTTGAAATCCCCCCACTTGCTCTTATGTGAATGATCACAACTGTGCAAACAGGGCCATTTAAAATTATTTTAGCACATATTTCTGTGCACATTTTTTTTAAAAAGTGTGACACAGCACTGGGCAGGCTCTCCAAGGTGCTTGTGGCTGCTCAAACAGGGATTGTGAAAGGTGGCTTGAACAATCTTCAAGAAGGGAAAAAAAAGGCTTTCACAATCTTCAGGAAGGAAAAAAGGGCTGTAGTGCACATGAAAGGGTTAATGGCAGCAGTGGACAATGGCGAAAGGCTTAATCCTCCCAGTGTTCCCTGAAATAGCTGTGGAAATGCCCAGGAGAGGGTCATTTGTGCTGATTGCGTCATGGTGCCTCAGGCAATTCACTGACACTGAAGGGCTTTGGCCAGTGTGGGCTGTTCTGTCTTCCAAGTGCACTGACCAGTGACAGAACTTACCATAAGGAACACCAGTGATATCAATTCCTCTAGCAGCTACATCAGTGCAGATCAAGAATCGGACATCTCCTTTCTAAACAGAGAAGTTAATTACAATCACACATTTGAATTTCATTTGTATATAGCCATTAAAGCGGAAGGCATCACCTCCATCTAAGAGAGTGATTTGAAGGAAGTGAGAGCATTGACCCCAAAGGTAATCCTAAGATCAATAAAGGAGTCCTTCCATGAACAGAAGGTCAACTGAACCAGCAGATCTGCCTCTGAGGGAAGCCAGTTGTGCAAATTCCCTTTGTACCACCTCTGGAGCAGATGGTTTTTAACCCTGTTTGGTCTGTCATGTTTTTCAAACCCCACTGGAAAACATTTCCAAATCCCATTCAGTGCAGTGCGTTTGGTTTGAGAAACCGTGAACAGAAACAACTGTCAGCTCTATGGCTTCTCAGTCCCATGTCTGGGTGTTGTGTCAGCTGAACCAGAACACACAACTTGGCACGATACCAAGGCTGGAACCAGAGAGCAGCTCACTAGATGACACGACCATCAGAGGTGTTCATGTTCCTTCTGTCCCAAGGATCTTCTCTGGGGCAGGAAAGACCAATCAGTCAGTTGGTGCTGGGAGAAGAGCAACATTGCTCAGTTCATTAGCGGCTGAGTGAGAGGCAGATGGATGGCTGCAGCGCCTAGCTGCGGGCTGTGTAACATAGGAGATTCCCCATGCTACCCCTCTGCATGCTCCAGAGTGAAGCACCTCCTATCTCTCCTCGCAGGCCAGTGACAGGCATGGGAATTGGTTGGGCAGTCTTGCAGGAGGACATTAACACTGCTCAATTGATTCCCCTTCTGCCTTTTTGTACATGCCAGAGCAACTTGGGCTGTCAAAGCAAGGAGCCTCGTACCTCCCTGTGCTGCCTCCTGGGTTCCGGCCTGGAGGACTGAGAGGGAAGAAATTGGTGGACAGGAGGAGAATTACCCTGATGAGCCTGATCGTCTTTCAGGCACATCCATGCAAAAAACAACAACAACAACAACACATGGAGGAAACTGCACAGTACTGCTTGTTGTGTTGTGTAGATCTGGCCAATGTATACACAATCCCTGACTTTAGCAATGCTGTCTTCATTCTTCTGCTCCTGATTCCAGGCTCTTAACCTTCTGCAGTGGTGGCCACTGAACCATAATGGCTATGTGAGTGACAGGCCCATGGCCTTGCAGTTCCTGGGTTTGCTCAGAACAGTTGAATCCATCTTGATGCAGAACACAAAGCTGCTATAGCCTTGGTGCTTAGGATTCAATGGGGCTCAGTCTTCCTGCACTAATGGAGAAGCTATAAACTCCTATCTCTGGATATGCTGGCTATTAGGAATGATTGTTTCAGTGCAGATGGGTTTGTGAATCTGGCCCACAGCTTTGCCCCATCTTAACCAGGGTTGGAGACAGTCTGCCATCAACAGAGTTTCACTGGTGCTTCAGCCCCCTGAAATGCCTCTCTGGAGAACTGGGGAATTCACCAGAACAGGATGGGGAGTTGTGTTGAGGGCCCACAGGGGGGATTTGCAAACACCCTTTTCCTAGCAGGAATCTTCTGCTGGACCCCAGTTCTCTGCAAGCAGAGGGAGCCCTTCCAGCAGCAGAGAAGTATGTCTGAATTCAACCCCAGTGCTCCTGAACAGGCAATAACATGAAATATGAGATAACATATGCAATTATTAGACCTATTAAGGAATATTTAGTTGATTATCTGTCTTTTGACCAATTAAACAGGAATAAATTTCATATTCTCAGTGTTTCAGTATGGATGCCATTTTGAAAGCCTTAAGGAAATGCAAGCTAACTCAAAATTTAGAATGAAGAAGCCCTACAACTATGCAGATTTAGAAGAAACCCTTTACATTCTTTTCCCCTCAAAGGACAAGTGTGCTTTTAAACTCACCAATTAAAATGTATCTTGTGCAGATCAAATAGTTTTAGTTCGTTAATCTATTAAAGCTTGCAGCCCTCACCATTACCTTAAAACGCTCCAAATTCTGCTTCCTCTCGTGTGGTTTTCGGTCACCATGCAGGCAGACACATGAGAACTGATGCCCCTTCCTATCTGGACCTTAGGAGGAAAGAAACGCCAGACATCTATCAGGACACTTATATACAACAGCCAAATTCTGAAGTCTAGAATTCCTACTATGGAGAACATTCTCTTAAAGTGTCCATGATGTCACAAGCCTGAATGAACACTGCCATTTACAGAAGGGCAGGTTGAGAGGCTGCTCTGTAAGAGATGGGTGCAGAATGTCACAATTTGGCCTATGCAGTCACTTGAGGTTCCTCCAGGGAACAGCGCTTAGGCTTGAAGCCCCAGAGTGCATCTCCTCGCTGTCACTGCTATCTCAGATCAGAGATGACCATCAGGGTTTGCTTGCTGCTATGTGCCAGCCATGAAAGCGTCACTGCTCTCTCCTATCCTAGAGACAGCCGGGGAACACCCACGGCTACCTCAAAGATCATAGCAGGGATAAGGGTTGTAGGTGCTAGAATGTGCCTCCACAAGGAAAGCTGTCTGATCTCTCAGCACACAGGTGAGTTCCCTTCTTTTCAGCTTGTCCCACATCCTTCCTCAAATGGGGAAAGGTGGTAGGGTGGGCAAAGTGTCTGAGTTCCCTTTCTTTGTCCATCAGAGAAGCAAAGCTTTTCCTTCATGTACCTGCCTCCTTTCCTCATTGCAGAAAGGCATGTGAAGAGGGGGTGGAGATGACCTAGCCTCTATGTTTCCCTGAAAGAGGGGAAACAGGGGTTCCTCTGGCTTGGCTGTGTGTGTGGTTCCCCTAACCAGAAAAGCCCATGCATGGCAAAACAGTCCAACTGGCAGCTGGGCCAGGGAGCAAATGATGTCAGGTGGAATTGACTGAGTCCACTGATGTCACACAGTCCACTGAATCCACAAGACAGCTGGGTGGGGAGCTGTAGCTTCACACTCCTGAAGCCTTTTTGTTTTAAACTGCTGACCTTTCCTCTACTTAGTGCCAGAGAAATGGGGAGGAAATTAAATGGACTCAGCTAGATTACCAGGAGACTCAGGGCTTGTCAATTTAATTAGCTGAAAGAGAGTTCTGAACAGATCCCTCTCCTTTTCCAGAGTGCAGTGGATGTGTTCTAATACCTCCTCCAGCTCTTTGAAAATGCATCATCCATACACAGCTGAAGCAGCAGGAAATCTACCCCTGGGAAAATATCCATCGTGAAAAACTGCCATTTGAGACTAATCAATCAAAAGCTGGAGAGAAGAATTGCAAACTGGTATCAGATGGTAAATGAACAGAGTGAAGCCTAACAGGCATGAAATTACTACCTCCTCCTTGCTGCATGAAGTATTGCTCCATGTTATCACAATCTATCTTAGTCCTGCAGAAGATTATTGCTTGATCCATCTTGTGTTCCTTGATAGCACGAATGGTGTATTCTCCTTTCAAAATCTTAATAGCTTCTGACCACATTTCTAAAGAAGATGATAAATTATTCGTATACTGTATTAAACATGTATTTGTTTAAAAAGAACAGCGGTTTATTTTGACAGAATGGTCACAGATCTTATCTATGTTCCAAAACTTATTTTGAAAAATGATGTTAACACTTCCTGCCTGGGCAAGACTTTACCTTGCAGGGGAAAATGCATTTTGACCAATTTGTCAAAAGAAAACATTTGCATGGTTGACAGCAACATAGTTTATCAATTTTTGAACCAAAATATAATGATGGTGCTTGAACAGGTTTTCCTTCATTGAACAGCTTTGCTAAAGCTACCCAATTTTTATATATATACACACACACACAAACACACACACACATATATATAAACCCCATTGAGCCAGTATTTGTTACCTGCAGTATTAGCGCCAGGTCTTGTATTATCTTTTGCATGCACTTCATCAGTCTGTAATGTGAAATTGGGAAAATTAAAACAGCAAAGTAATTCACCACAGTAAGAAGGCTGGTACAGGACATAAGGAGCTACAGTCAATTCTGCTTTATTGTTTAGCAGCCCTTAAATTACTGATATCTGCAACCACAAGGGTTTATGAAAGAAGATTATGAATGCAAGAATGTTGTTCGTGGGTGCTCCATTACAGCTGTATGTTAGAGCATTGAGTAATATGTCTTTGAATACAGGAGCTGACCTCACACCTCCTGTAATGGCAGAGAGTAACCGCTTTTCCCAGCCAATCATCTATAGTAACAGCCAGGAAAGCTGTCTGTCTGTGCCATAATGCCTTGAAATCTAGAGACCTGAAACTTGGCATGCATTACTAAGTTGACACCAGAGGTGTGCACCTTGGGGCTGTTTTATTTTTAAAACACAGGACCTTTAAGTAATTTAAATGTGCCTGTGTGGATGAAACCTGTAGAAACATCTTCAGTCACTATGGGCAGACTGGTGCGTAAGCGCAGCAGTTGATATAGCTTGATGTCATGGAAGATTAATGGACTGGAGGATAGAATAACACATCTGCTTCTCCCCATATCACACAGCTTCCCTTCATCAGGAGAATGAAATGCACATCACCTCTCCCAGGAAGCCATAAGGGTTCACCATGGCAGACATTATGTGTACAGAGGTTAATGGCTGTGGCTTGTGGCTTTCCTCAGACAGGATGAGCATAATATGACTGATTCTGGACTCTCAGTAGAACAGACGGAGCCACCCCACTTCTCTTTCTTTCTCTGCAGCAGCCTAAGGCTAAACCTGGTTTAACAAGAGCACCAGAAAACACACGCACACCCCAACCATGGTCAATTCCCAAATAAAAGAGAGGTAGAAACAGAAGAGAAAGAGAGAAGTCCACACCCAAACTCCTATACATGGCTCGCAAAGTGGACAGTATTGCTTCAAAATAAAATGCAACAAGGCTGCTTGATAATCCACAGTATATATTGTAAGTTCTCCTAGCAGTTCCCAGTCCCCAGATTACATATTTTAAGATGAAAACAATCTGCTGAACATTCCTAATTTGAGTTCTCAGATCCCATTTGTGCTGCCCATTATTTTACAATTTTCTGCCCCAGCTTAAATGTGGCTACTAGCCTTGCAACTTTAATAAGGAAACATTAAAAAAACTGTTTGTTTTAATGTATTGCTTGCATATGTGCTACTTACTCGGATATGGTTTTTTCCAAGCTTTTCCCACAGTTTGTCTGTTTTGGGGTTTACAGGAACAACAACATGGTGCACAGTATCTGGGACAGAATCTTCTCCTTTCAAATCCACCCAAGTGGGGAAGTGCATAATCTTTTCAGATAGTTTCTTGACATCAAATGAATGCAGAGTTGCTGAGCACACAATTACCTAAACACACACAGAGACTTTAAGGTAAAGAGCTTTTTCACAGTTAGTATGGATAAAGGACTTTCTGCCTCATCAGGCTTTTATTTAAACATCTACCCACACAGCCCAACATAAATTTCTTTTACCCAATACAAGTAATTGCTTCACTTTGCTCAGAGATCAGCTCTTCAGCCATTCTTATCTGGTCAACTGACAGTGCAGTATGAAAAACTAAGCCAAGTTTTGACTTTAACAACTAACAGATGGAGCAAAAAGGCTATATAGGTTACACGACAATGCTTACTTCCTGTAATGACCATTTGGGAGAAGTTAAGACAGGGCAGAGGCAGAGCTCCAGTGATAGTATCTCTGTTCCAGTTATCCCAGGAACACCTGTAAAGAGCCTAGTTGGTATAAACCTACAGGCAGCAGTACTGATGAAGGACCCAAAGTGCACCTACTTGTCCTTTGAGGCCCCAGGACGAGGCCCTTTATCTAAGCATGCTTCTAGCTAGCATAAGCATTTCCTCACTGATCAGAGGGGAAAGAAGTGGGTCCTTTCCTCCTCCTCAGAAATGGCACAGGATCCACAGCATCTTCTACCAACCTCTGAGTACTTAGGATTGCTCTGTTGAAAGTGTAGAAATACTCAACCAGAACTCTGGGACATTTATTTTTCTGCTCTACTGCACTGCCTATAAATAAACAATTGAGTAGAAACAATCACATTATTTTAGAGGCACTGGAGGCGTAAAATCTCCCATTCATACAGGTTAATCTTGTGTGGGGGGAGGGTTTGTGTGTGAGCAGCAGAGAGAGTTGGGAGGGTGGAGCCACCAAGACTTTTTAACATCACCTGTTCCTTGGATAGTGAGGGCCAATCCTGCCAATGCCATTTCTATTACACTTTCATAATGACTACTTGCTCTGGGAGTATATGACAAAGGATTTTTGCCTATGGACACCAGTAGTTTGGGGATGCACTTTTGTGTGTTCTTAGTGTTTTTGCTTTTCATTTTACTACTTAACGATCAAAATATTTCAGCTACAGACTTAATAAAAGTGTATTGCACATGTTCATAGTCACAAAGGTTCAAAAACACTGTGCACAGTTTTTTGGTTCTGGAAAGAGGAAGAGGCTGAAGGGACCAATATTTGGTAAGCATAGAACCTACAATACAAAGTTATGGAAAATACTGAAAAGACAAGCAAGCTACAAACCTGGAGCCTCTTTCCATCAGATGTGATCTGAGGAATCTGAGAGTGAATTCTGTTAATGAAATCTGAATAGCCTTGGCTAAGGAGGCCGTCCTGTGCAGGGGAAAGAAGTGTTAGTATCATTTAGAAACTTTACACATTTATTCTAATGTTAAGATACAAGCAGATAATTCTGGCTATTCATTAATAATCCTCCCTCTAACTAGCTGAAGTTCTCTGAATCCTCTGGTTAAGATAGGCCATGGAAGTATTTGACAGACAAAAGGGGCAAGGACCTACCTGAATCATCCTATGAATAGTAACAATCACCTTGTCACATATTCAAGATGAACATCAGGCTAGGAGGAACTCAAAAAACTAGTAAGTATATCACTTTTGAATATACCCAAAAGTGACCAACTACTGGGTAATCTTTCTGAAAAAAGATATATGATTTCCTTTTTCCTTTAATCAGCATATTACCAGGCCAATCAGCCCAATTTTATACGAAATGTTTTTTGTCATACAAAATTTCATCAGCAATGCTGCTTGTGGCAAAAATGTCATTAATAGCAATAGGAACCAGAAATCAATTATCTGATATTGGAAGGATGTCCTAGGGGGTTACTTTAGGCTATTTGTTCTTATCTAGCTCTATTGCCTGAGTTTATTATCTTTATACCCAGGCTTTTTTGCAAGAGACATATGGCTTACAGAATACCCATTTTATTTTATCCTCACAACCACCCTGCAAAATAGATGACAATGAAAGTCAGTGACTGCCCAACAGCACCCACTAAGCTTTGCAGCCAAGTGAGGACTAGAACCTGGATCTTCTGAGTTCCAGTCCAACACTCTACTGCAGACATGTTTTGCTTTGCAAATCTGACTTCGGGTACCTATGACCTGTTGACGGCAATAAAAAGACTTTGCAATGTCCTTTCAGCCACAGGATGAAGTGAGGATTTGCAGGGGCTAACTTGCAAGCAGTTGCTTCCATGCCCCAGCTGCAGAACAGAAATTGGCTGGGCATGGCAGTGGATGTCTCTGTCAAAATACCATGCAGACCACAGCATTCAGTGAATGCTCCACAGCACCAGTGTGGGTAATTCAATTTTCACTGTATGTCATTCAAAAATGCTCTCTATACTTACAGCCTCATCAAGGACCAGGAACCGAACCTGAGATAAAACCAGTTTTCCTGTTGACACAAGATCATCCAATCTTCCAGGAGTTCCCACAACTATGTCTACCTGTACAATGGATTAGTGCACCTCTACGTTATATTTTCCAAATTAAAATGGAAGTATCAAGATATTTTATTCATCTATTCATGAGCAAGAACCTTTTAAACATTTTTAGTTAACGTTGAAACTTCTAGGTTGCATGCACACCTAAAGAGCAAAAAGTGAATGGCCTTTGTAAGTTCTATAAACACTACCAGAGGTCTCAGCTGGGACACAGTGCTCTACAATTCTTATCTCAAAGACGTCAGTTTATCTACCTCCTCTCAAGCAATACTTAGATCACTGAGCCAAGGGTGGCCATCCAATTTGAACTCCAAGGATTTGGAATATTCAATGGAGGCTGTGAGAAGCACAGAGGATATTCTTTACCGCCATGCTCCTCTCATCCTCCAGAACATTGAGATGGACAATTTCACCTATGTTAATCTTGGTTCCCTTCTTACGAGGAGAGGTCAAGGCACTGCCAGGATTCCTCCAAGGCAGGGGGATGCCATGGTCCTCTCCTCCCTGTCCTCCCATGTGAGCTCCAAAGACAGTCTTTACTCCTCAAAGTCCAGCTCAGGCACTGTAATAAAATTCACTGTTCTGATCTCAGAGCGTTTTTCCAAGATTGCAGGCAGGACGTTAACCTATCCTATGATCAGCCCAAACAAAGTTGAGAGGCCATTATCTGTTCCCTATTATTAACTTAAACTGTTATTGGTCTAGCTTTCAATAACAATTTAGCAAATAAATGGGCTCTAATCCATTTTAATCCTGTCATTGTTCTTGAATTTATGATTACCTGCTACATATTGTAAAGCTGCCATTTACATATATGCAACAAAAAGGTAGGATATACAAGATTTGAAGTGTACATAAAAGAAAAATACCTTAGTGATAATTCAGACTTACCCCTTGCTCCAATACTGACAGTTGCTCTCTTGCAGCAACACCACCAATAATTAAGAGTTCCCTAAAGGAAGCATAACATCAGATTAAGTTTTATATTGTGCAATCATCTTGCCCTCCAGATGTCTTATAACTTCATGTGGACTGAGCCTCATGGAAGTTAAAGTCCAAAACACCTAGAGGGCGCCACCTCGGAGGAAGTTTCAGTAGAGCGAGGGCTGTTTTGCACATCACAATAAGCCACCCTGATATTAAGCTATAGTGGATTGTTGTTTACTTGCTAACCCATGTAATTCCTGAGAGATAATCAGGTACTCGCTGTGTTCCCAGAACACAACAGACAACACTGCATGGATACCACAGTTCATGGTTTTTTACTACAATCTACCTGAACGCTGATCAAAGGTTTCTACTTTATCGTGGTTTCCATCTTCCTTGCCCAGTCCTCCCACTGCTGGCATGCTACATCAGTCACCACACCTGAAATTCAATCCTAAGGTGCACTGTTTCCTGCCTCAGTCTCCTGCCTCTTTCTCATCAGTCCACACTAGAGGAAAGGTGGCTGAAGAAGCTCCTGCAGCTGCAACTACCACAGAGTCCTCTGGGAAGAGTGGCATGGCCATGGATCATGGACCTCGGTTCAGACAATACAGTAAGCCCTGGGGGTACAGAGGAAGCATAGAGCCAACCTATGACCTAGAGCACAACAGGATAGGAACAACACAACAGAATGGTAAAAAACCACCACGGTTTGTCATGTTGTCTGAACCCAACCACCATTTCCCCGAGTCTTCCTTCCTGCTCTTGTAATGTATCCTAGAGCACAGCCTCAGGAGTCTACTCCCCTAATTAATATATGTATGCTTAATAAGGGTTTTTGCTGTAGTTTATTTAATTTTGAGGAAGATCTATGCAAACTTCCAGGGAGATTTACATTAATTTATCTTAGTTTATTTAACTGTTAATGAGATAACAATTCTACTAAAGTGTAGTAACTACTGCACTAAAGTGGAACAGTGACTGCACTTTAGCAGATTTGTGCAAAACTTCCCAAAGATGAAAAAAACAACATTAATCTGTGCAAATATTTCTGAAGGATAAAAAAAAGGTGTTGCTACTTAAGGAGGTAACAAAGTGAAGGTGCAAATTGATTACTGTCATTTCAATATGTAACAGAGAAGAGATATAGATGCCAAGATCATAAAGAATTACCAACAATATATTTTGCCATTCTTGAAAGGTGGCTCTCTCACTGTTTTAACTGAAGCATTTTAAAGTGACTTTGCTGGGTTTAATGTCACAGTAAGCAATCCTGAAAATAAGCCATCCTAAACCATCCTACCACAAACCATGGGTTCTCAGGATAGCTTTTTTAATGAAAAACAATCTATTATGGAAAAACTACACTGGGTTTAGACATCACATTAAACCACCATGCAGCCACTCATGATAACAACCCATCTGACTTAATGTGATGTGTGAATTAGATCTAAAAGTAGTATTAATTTTTATGGAATGCAGTGCTCAATTCTTGGGGTTCTTAATGAAATCTATGAGGCCCACCCTCCAATTCAATACACGCATTTTTGTTGTACCTTAACTTAGGATTATCAACGTATTTTTTGAATTGTTTCACATTGTTCAGAGTTTGCTCCGCTAGTTCTCTGGATGGTTCCACAATCAAGGCTTTGGGAGCATTTGGCAGTTGTTTTGTTTGTGCTACTTGTGCAGTTCCTAAAACGAGAACATTGAAGAGTTCCTTTGAGTTGACAACTGGAAATAATGCTTATGCTATTTTTGAGATCAGTTAGATCCAGACTTAGTACCAGTCCTACTGAATAAATGGAATTTAAACTTTTAATATAGCCTTTTTTGCTATTTTAACATAACCATGTCTGAAACGCACCTGTATGCTGGGATTTCACAGAGTTACTCTCAGGAGCCTTATCAAGAGCAATGTAGCCATCTTTGGGTGGAAACTTAAAGTCTTCTTCACCAAAGTTGAATTTCAATTCAGCATTCTAAAAGAATATATACCAGAACAACTTGAATAGGATTATATCAACTGGATTTTTATAGAAGAACACATGCAATATTTCCTGAGTCAGGAATCTGCTAAAACATCTCCCTTATTTTGTTTTTCAAAGCAAGTAGTAACAGCCATCCAAATTCATTAGCCTCTGGCTTACTGTTTGGTTTACTTCTTGTGGCAACTTTCACATACCTGTAATGAGACCCAATAGCGATTAATGAAGTGTGGGGTCTATTCAAGACAAGTCATGTGATTTTATTGCATCAGTAAGTATATTTTTACAGTGGTACCTCGGCTCACAAAAGCCTCAGTTCACGACCAAATCGGATCGCAAACAAAAATTTCATAAATTTTTTGACTCAGGTCACAAACTCCGCATTGAGTGGTGACCGCGATCGCGGTCATCTCCCCACATCCGCAAGTGGAGAGTTGGCCGCGATCGTCTGGGGGTGGGGGGAAGATGGCCGAGATCATGCCCATCTTTCCTGCACGAGCGCGCCCGTGATTGCACCTGTCTTTCCTGCACCAGTGCAACCGTGATCTCGGCCATCTACCCCCCCACTGCATGATTGTTCTTGTCTCCCCCCCACCGAATGTGCCCGCGTTCACGCCCATCTCTCCCTCCCGCAGCACGCCCGTGTTCGCGCCCGTCTCTCCCCTCTAGCACGCTGGGATGACCAGCACGTGCAGGGATGACGGGTGCTATCGCAGTCGCGATCACGGTCATGCTGGGTGGGGGGCGGAGAGATCGCTGCACTCATGCTCAGGGTGGGGAGGGGCAAGATGGCCGCGATCTTTGTTGTTGTCACTTTGCTTCACATTTTTCTGATTAAAAAAAATAGTTACAGGATGGATTAACCTTATTTACATTGAACCTTATGGGGAAATTTAACTTGGTTCATGACCAATTTGGGTCACAACCAGAGTCCTGGAACTGATTAAGTTCGCGAGCCAAGGTACCACTGTATTTTGAAATAGAAATGGACTTCGCAAATGGAATGTCAAATCCTAGACTACTTTTTTCAGCACACTGCCATTTCACAAGCTTCAGGGTCCAAAAGACCACTACAATTACCTTATTGGCAGTTTCAAAGTAACTTGCCTTGTGTCACAAGCGTCCACTGTTTAAAGGAAATAAATCAATTTCATTGCAAATACCAGTGGACTGTGCCTGAGGCCGTTTTCTAAACTGAGTTTAGGAACTGTACTTGCACTAGGGGAAGGCCCTTCTCAGTCGTGATGCCTTGACTGTGGAATCAGATCTCCAGAGAGGTTCACCTGATGCCAACTCTTTATGCCTTTTGGCACCAGACTAAGACTTTATTTTCCCAGTATTTTAACTGTTTACAAATTACTTTATACTGTATTTTATCTAAACTGTTGTTAGATCACTGTGGATTGTTGATTGACCTATTAATGCATCCGTTTTTAATTGGCTGGTGTGTTCTGACCCATACTATTTTTATATATATGTATGTATGTTGTGTTTTTTATTATGTTAAGTTCTTTTTATCTTTTACTATAATCCTTTCAGAGAACCATTTGGCTAATGTGGATAAAGGTTTTAATAAAATAAATAAATACACAGATGTGGCTAAAAATTTCTGCTAACTCATCAGCAAATGACAAGAAAAGTTTAGCAGAAAAGCTAAAGCCCCTTCCCTGCTAAAAAATAACTCAATGAAAAATCAGTAGCCATGGAATGGTGATAGATTGGGAAAAACCCAGAAAGCTGAGTAAAAGGAAGAGTGGAGTTGCTGGAAAAGGAGGGAGAAATAGATAGATATGAAGAGGATAGAGGACCTTTTGCTAGACATCATTGTTATGAAACTAAGTATGTACAAGCCAGCTTCAGGAAAGAATATGAGACCTGGAAGTTGTAAAGACAGGAGTAAAATAATGTATTTTTGGCTGCTTAGTATATTTATTTATTTAATTATTTAAAGTTTTTATATGCCGTCTCCTTGCTATATAGCCTCGGGACGGCTAACAGAAATAAATACAAAACAAATAACAATTACAATTAAAACCCGGAAACACACTGGCTGCACAATTAAAACCTATAAATAATAAACATTATTAAAATATTGTTTGAATAAAAAGCTCTTGGCCTAGTGACAAAAAACAAATAACGATGTCTCAAGTCCATTTGGTAAAGTCAAAGGTTACCTTTAGAACACAAGCTGCAAAGAGTGCTTGGTTTTTTAGGTGTGGTGGGATCTCAAATGCCAGTCCAAGGTCCTTTCCTGAAAAACAGGCAGTATGTTGAAAGATTTATCTCAATTATGAGTTTAAATACTTACTGGAAATAAAGAGCAGGCTAGACTACTTACCATTTTTAGAAAATGCAATCTGCCCTTTATCAAGATCTACATAGCATCCAATCGTGTCATGCATAGTGAATTCCTACAAAAAGCCACCAGAAAAACAAATGTAATCTTCTTTGAATGCAATAATCTGCATGAATATAAAAAAGCAGCAACTGTATGGGCACCATCTTCACAGTGGTCTATTACGTTAGAATCTTCAGAACTCCAAATAAAAGACTTAGCAGAGGGTAGCCTTTTGGCTGTCTGACACTGGAAGATCCTTCTAAATGGGGTGGGCAATGACATGGGGAGAAGAAAGGGAATTCAGATTTCAATTTTGGTGATTTGCTCTTTTCTCCCCCATAGTGTCACAGCCCAACACATGCAGGAGTGTCCTTGGTCCTCAGGAGAGGCTTGGGTGAAGTGATTCAGGATGGAGGTCAGGGTAGATAACCTACTTTCCATGAACCACCTTCAGCCTGCACTTCCCAGGATCCAAGGCTTAGTTTATAAATGCTAAATTTAAAACTCAACTAAATACAAATAATAAATATCAAAAATTGGTTTTGGGTTTTTAATTTTTCTTTTTATTATTATTATTAAATATAATAGCTAAAATATAAATCCTTCAATAAATATGAAGTAGTCTTTAATTTTTCATAATGGAACCCCTCCATGTCCAATGAAAATCAGTATGAACTTTTCAAATATGAAACGCAACTTCTGAAGATTTTTAGATAAGATGGCTAAGAAAACATGGATTTTAGTGGAAACAATTTATGCACATGACTATCTTGGCAGTAGTCATGGCTATTGGCTTGCTGCTGCTAACTGCCATGTTTTTCAACAATGGTAAGGAAAATACTCATGCTCAGGGTTTTGTTTTAGAAATGCTCCCAAACAAATGCTTGTACTGGTATGCCAGAAATGTATCCTGCATGTGGCAGAAGATGCATATAAAGAACTCAACAGGGTATGTGCACCGGTACTGTTCTGTCATTTTTATGCTTTTTTATAGTCATATTTTCTCATTGCACTATATTGTGGCATGTTTACTTTTCAAAATGAATCTTGCATACCAGTCATGTATTTGACGATTAGGAATAAGTTGAATGAATAAATAAATAAACAAGCAACACCATTGGAAAGCTTTTTCCTTGGCCAACCACAAGACTGTAGGTTAACAAAAGTGAGTCTAAATCCAAAAGCTGACTAAATACTAATGTTAATCTAAGCAAACCTCAGATATTGCTATAACTGAATCATGAATCATTGAACTTCATGTTGATTCATTACAACATTTAATAATAGTTGTTGTTACATGCTGTGATTAATATTCAATAAATAATTCTGTTCTTTGTTACAAGGGAACAAAACATACCTCTCCATAACTATCAAACTGTTTGTTATGAGATTTCTTTCCTGTTCCCCCATAGCCAAAGCCAAATTTGTCTGTGCCTAACAAACAAATAAAAAAATATTAGAACAAAACTGTTTTTCACAAAGTACACTGGGCTTAATCCAGACTTGTGCTTTACATGAGCGTAAACTGAAGAGCTGACAATTTCTGTTGGTTCCTCATTCGCTTTGCAACCCCATGTGCACCCTGAAGGGCTGCTTCAAGGGACTGGGTAACAGGATTTGGAACACTAGGAGAGGTGCTGCTGGAGCTGTGTGGGGAAGAAGTAATCAACAAAACCTGCTGCTTCCTCTCTTCCCATGAGAAACCTCTGCTGGGTCCCAATTCCCACCATGAATAGAATGAGAGTGTGAAAAGAACCTATGGTGCTAATCTCTAACAATGCACAATATGCTCCAGAATATGCTTTTTGGGATTAGGATGTTTTATAGCACAATGAAGTTCTGTTATATTGTATGAAAGCATGCACTTTTTTGGATTGCCATACTACTAGCTCTCAACATTCCCATTCCATAAATCTAAGTCAAGAGCAGCATGGGGCTTTTTTCTGTGCACTGCTGATTAGTAATGAGAGGAAACATGGGTGCTTTCTGTGCTTCCTTTTGTCTCTCCACAAAGGGCACCCTTTTTCCAGGGATGCTTTGTACCTATTCACATGGGTGGATGCTCATGCGCAGATGGACAGCAGAAGGAAGAGAAGCCACACATTCCTGGTGACCCATAGAAGACTTCCCCAACCATCATCTAGATATTTGGACTATGATTCCCTGGAATTCTTGGCCAATGGCCATGTTGGCTAAGGCTGATGGAAGCCAAATACAACCAAAGAGCACCATGTTTGAGAAGTCTGGCCTATCGTCTCTTGCCCAATCTAGTCATGTGTGGTTTATTGGCTACAGAAGAGTGCAAATAGGGATGCACAACCACATTCTAACACAACTAGCCAGAAAAAGTAGAGCTGAATTAAGTGTTGCCATGCAATGCTGGTGAGAAAACCCACTCATTTCAGAGTAAAGACAACACGTAAGTTTTGCTTACCCTCATTTACAACAGGTAGTTAATGTGAACAGATCATACGTTGCTATGATGCCAACACATTTACTGCTGAACTAAAATATGTTGGGATTATTACTCAAAGAAACACTGAGAATGGCAGCAAAATAACCATAATTGAAAGGAGTGGAAGATCTTTAATGTAAGGCGTTTTCACATCTCTTGAAAGCATATTCTTTGCTTTCTAATTATCTGAATGTGAAAATATGGTGCAGCACTAATTACAGTCACTGATAATTTGGCACTGATCATTTAAAGCTTTTTATTGAAGAAACAGGACTGTACATTTTATTTGGAACCTTATTTTCCCCTGCCTGATTATATTACAAACTTGAACAGAGAACTCCAATGTTCTAGCACAGTAGTAGTTTCAATGCACCAGAAAATAATGTGCCTTTAATGAGCATAAGCTACCACTAATTGCTAATGGGTCATGCAGTCTTCAGATCAGTTCTTTAAGTTAATACTTACCTAAATCTAACGAAGCTTGCATTGAGGACCATCCAACTCTGCATAACCCTTGGTCACGACATGACACTTCATAATAATATTTTCCTAGAACATTTAAGATTCCAGTTTAAATATATGATGATAGTAAGGAAAATAAACTGTTTTAACTTTAACATCTTAATACATATAAGCAAAAAATTCTTTATCCCAAAGACCAAAAAAAGATACATGTTTATCTGGATCATTCCCATTTCAAATCTCTGGCTAGCTTTATGCATAATCACTGCTTCTGATACCTTTAGTCACGCCTTTAGTTGATCTGCATCCATGCCATTCCTTTATCTCTCTGCTTTGGCAGCACAGACCATCAGACCCGATAGCTGAACAAAAAAAAAATTAAAAATTAAAAAAAAAATAAAAATAAAAATAAAAATAAAAATAAAAATAAAAAAGAGCAAGCTTAACACTTTCAAGATCAATCATAATCATTTTTGCAACATTCATTCTTTCATTCATTCATTCAAACATTTATATCCCATCCTTTCCACTGAGCAGCTCAGGACAGCTTACAGAGATTAAATAGCATATAAAATACAATGATAGAATAATTAAAACAATAAATAATAAACCAACATAACTACTTTCATAACTAATGGAGAGAGAGAGAGAATAAAGAATAAAGAATGTGACTGTGGAAATGTTAAAAACATCTAAAAAGTCTTAATTATTAAAATGATGGTTGAATAAAAAGGTCTATTGCTTACTATTTGTGCTGGATAGCAAGTTATCCAAGAATAGTTGTGCACACTCATCCTTAAGCAAATATAATGAAACTACAGACATTTGTTTAAACATTAATGATGTATCACAATAGATTTGTGTGGCTGTTATCCTCCCTATACTAGTCTCAGCATAACATACATAGGATAACTTGATATCCTATCCAGACCCCAAAAATGAAATATTAATGGTGAATCTACCAATGTGTAGGTCTGATTTTCAAGTCGATAAGTACCAATTAACTGCATACTCACTAGAAGAGGGAAACAGAAAACTTACCAAATGCAGATCCTCTATCATATGGATTCATTTGCCATTTGTTGAGCACTGTTGGGGAAGGAAAAAAAATAACCTGTACTACCTTACCACAAAGCAAGCGAATTTCACATTTCTGTTAGTTGAAAAATAAAGCCAAATCACTTTTAAATCCTGAGGATATTTTCACAGAGTTCCACATATACATGTGCATAAGCTGTTTGTTCAGTTGTAATCATACTGAATTCCAGTACATTGTAAATGTCTTCATAAGTGGGGTTAAAATTATTGCATAGGATACAAAGTTGTATTTCTTCAGGGACAGGAAACCTAGAAAACAATGATTCAGACTAGAATACTGATAATTCCATTAGTCCATAATCCCTTGCCATTCCTTGAGACCTACTGGAATTGCAGCCCAAAGTATCTGGAATGCTCATCTACGCCCACTCTATACATTACATTTAAATATGCTTAATATAGCTATATGAAATATGCATAATTAACATTTACATGGCAAGTATTCACAGATGATGAACAGGGAATGTTAACTAAATGTGCCAACTACCAGCTTGTGTAAAAACTGTTTGGATTCTTTAATTTACATTAGATTCCAAAAACCAATACAATGCATACCTCAGCATACCTAAAGAAAAAGACTTACCTCCCCCACCAGTTTTTATAGTAGTTTTCCCCTTTTTGCCTTCCTGCTGGTCCTTCAGAGTTTCATAAACAATCTGAATAACTGGGATGCTGAAAGCCTGAAATATAAAGTTGTCTATTTAAGTTAAATGCTTGAACCTATTATGGTCTTCTAGACTTGAGTTACAATGGATTGTAATAAGACAAATGCACCATTGTTGGTACATTAAATCCGCAGCTTCCATGTGTGCTAACTCAAGGTGCAATCCTACGTCTCTTGGCACTGTCACAGGATAGCTTGGCACCCCAACCCTAATGCCTTCTGGCACTCTGACCTTGGAGGGCCATGGCCATGGTCCCTGCAGCTGGCATGTTCTTTCATTGCTGGTGGGACTGGAAGATGGACTCCCATCTTTGGCACAGCACATGGGAGTATTCTGGAGGCAGGGGAAGGGAGCAGCAAAACACCACTGTCCTCAGACAAACTGTGGCAGTACCCTCTCTCTCCTCACAAGAAAGGGGAAAAGATTTATGCAGACCAAATCACCTTAAACTCCAAGATGCCTCTTGTGACATACTGCTTTAAAAAATGTTCACAATCTAAATGTAAATTTGAAAATTATTTTACATACAACAATGGGAATTTCACTTACACCAGTTTTTCCACTCCCAGTTTCTGCAGCCTGTGTAGAAATAAGATTTAATATGAAAGGTTGTTAATCCTTCATTGTTATTAAAATACCAGTACAAAAGTTTAAAGCCACAGTAGAACACTGACACATTAGATGTAAATAAACTTCTTGTTCCATCATAGTTTGCAAAAGACAATATTCAGGTTGACAATATACTACATTTTAACTGTATAGTTTAGAAAGTTGTAATAGTTTATGCATTTTACTGCTTAAATGTATCTAATTTGTCACATACATAAAGGATGTGAGAATAGTTCTTTCAAAGAAGATTTTATCTTATTCATTTTTTGTCCAACAGCTTGGATATACAAGATCTCCAGTTCAAGCCCTAAAAGGTTTTTTTTAACTAATTTGGCTTGCAGTGGTTTTTCAAATACATTTCTAAACATCATTTCCACAGTGTGGTAACCATTCACTAACAGTGACACAAGATAAAGTTTGTAGTAAAGCTAGCACAGTGTCTGATACAAGATAGATGGTAACTGCAGAGTTGTTTACCAACAGTATAATCCTATGCAGTGTCATAGGATTATATGCATAGCATACTACCTAATACCCACATAGCATACTACCTGTGTATAGGCCTAAAAATCCAAGTACAATATTGAAAGCAGCAACTCTAAGAGTACTTACTAAGGAATAAGTCTATTGAACAGAGCGATAACTCTTTCTGAGTTAGTATGCTTCTAATTGTTCTGCACAGTTCAGAATACCAGAGAACATACTATTCTATAGACTAGACAGTAGCAATACATACCATAAGTACATCACCACCTCCTAAAATCAATGGAATGGACTCTGCTTGGATATCCGTGGGAAGACTGCAAGAAAAATAGTAAGCCCTGTAAGCACCTAAAAATGCAGTATCTGTAAAATGAACTTTTTCAGGTTGCTTGTAACAGAAAAATAAGATTTTTGAGAAAAAAAAACTTTGTCCGTAGACATGTCCTGAACTGGACAGTGCTGTAATACAAGAATTCTGTTTATGAAGCTAAGAGCAGATTCATTTAATGAAATTTGGGTCTGACTATTGCACTTCGGATGTTTACCACATAAGCATGGCAGTATCACTTCTACTGATATCTAGAATAGGATGGATTAAATTAATCATACTTACAGCCAGTCCATCTCCTCTACAGCTTGAGCTATCTCTGGCATAACACCCATTTCTGTGAGCAAACAGATATGTTAGTCAGATCTATTAAATCAAACTCAGTATTTTTCCATACAAGAGAACATATTATGAAAGGGAAGAAAAACTGCACAAATGTCTTTGTCCTTTTTAAGGCCAACAGCTCATGTGGAAGAATTCCTGTCTGTGCATAGTCCATGCAGATTTGCAGAGGCAATGAAAATGTTCAGAACTGTGCAGCAAGAGATAGTCCTATGATTATGCTGGTTCCAACCCATTTAGGGTTTTAAAAAAGTATTGGAAATTATTTGGAACCTTTAAAGTATGATATAAATCTCACAATACTTGAAAAGCTGCCCCTAATCAAAATCCTAGTTGTAACATTTTATAACAAATGAAGGATCCAAACACTTTACAAAGGCAGAAATCCAACTTTGATTTAACTAAGGCAAGATGGTTCTCCTACAGGAAAAACAGAGTTGATTTATCAATTTAAGTTCCTGACCACTGTTGTTACCTTACTATCCAAGAACAAGATAGGTACAGTAACACTCCAAAATGGCAAATTTAATTGTTCAAGGAGATGCCAATACATTCAAAACAGACTGTATTTCCATCCCTTTATCTGCAGTTAGACTGATCAGGAACATTGATCTCTTACATGGGTTAAGTCTCTTCTCAATTCTTGGGGAAGCAATTCTGGTAGGCTATTCAAATTCACAAGGAAGCTGAAAGACTAAAAGTTCAATCCTAAGAAAGGGTGGCTGGGGAATGCTGCAAGTTGCAAGGGTCTCTTTTCTTTAGGTTACCTAGAATGGCATTCTGATACCTTTATAGAAGAAAAATTACACCCCTGTCTCAAGCTTTAAAAGACTGTAAAGCTCCCATCAATTTAATCACAGGCTGTAATCACAGTGGAAAATTAGCCAGATTGATTATGTGCATTTGCCTACCTTTTGCTCTTCATCATCATTCTGAACAACACTGACAAAGAAAAAGCATTCTATACGTGCCCAGGTACAGTCTTCTTAGGGCAGTTAGGCTTAAATGATCATCAACTACAGTTTTTATCAATTAATATGGGGCATTTGAAAGGTTCTATTGGTTCCAGTGTGATAGTGTGAAAGCAAAATAAAATGACAGTTTTCCTACAATAGATTCTTTCAAAAATGCATCTTAAACTATTTTACACTTCTTTCGATATTTCAAAATGTCACATGTAGTGGCAACATGAATTCGTATTTGCTGCAAAATCCTAGACATAGAGACTCAGAAGTCAGCCCCACTGTAACTGGTGAAATTCATGCTAAATTGAATCTGCATATGAGACTTCCGATGTTTTAAATTGTGGGAGGGGATCCGACGACTCCCTGGGTGCCCCAGCAACCCATGCTGGCTAGGGAATGCTGAGGCTGCAGGGCTTTTTTCTATCTAAACACAGACAGTACTGTGACTTTGCCTGATGAATGCCTATCGGTGAAATTCTGTATCTTTGCGAGGGAACTGGCTCTACTTCTAACAGCCTCCTCCTAAACTCTTCCCGGCTACCTACGAGAGCTTGGGCTGAGGTTATTTATCCCCAAACCGATTCCAAACCTTTGGTCAGGTGCAGCCCTGATGCGAACCCTCTTGCAGGCCAAGGGCGCTCCCACCAGCCTCATGCCAGCCCAATCCTTACAACCCCCCATTCCGCTTTTTTCTCCCATTCTGTCTAATTCGTGTCTCGTCATAACCACAGAGAGCCTCGCTCTCCTCCAACCTCCCCGAAGGAGCCACGTACCCGAGAAGGCCGCCATGCTTACGCCTCTCCCCTACAAGCCTCCGCCGCTCGTCAGCGCCAGGACAGGCAGACGCCTGCGCAGTTAGGAGCGCCTCCGCTTTAGTCTTCCGGTCTGCGCAGTATCCGGACAACTAAGGTTCCATTAAGTGATTGTATAATAACTGAGCCGTTTGGAGGGTGATGCTATGTTACTGTACAATAATGTTATTTTCAGCTTTCACCCGACAGTACTAGAATCTGCCTCTGCCCGGCTGCTCTGCTCGATAACCTACGGACACGTTAACTCGTCCCATTCATTTCCAAGACGTCCACAGAAGGAATTTGTATGCGTTCCTGTGGCCATTCGGAAGCAATCAGTCCATTCCAATAATCGTCCTTTGATACTAGTTTTAGTATCCGGATGCTAAACTCCCCGCTAAACCCTCAACTGCATTCAAGTTTAGACCAGGGAGACTACAACTCTCAGCATGTCCCAACTGGCAGGGGGCATGCTGGGAACAGTAGGAACGCTATTTTGGGTGTAAGCTTTCATGGAATGGTGTCATTACCTGAGGAAATGAACAGATTGACTGCGGCGTTAATTTATTTGTAGTCCAAGCCTATGCATGCTTACTCCAAAGTAAGTCCTATTGAATCTGATGGGGCGTGCTCACTCTCAAGTAAGGATGCATACAGCCTGATTCTTACGAATGTCAAAACTCACTGAGTTCAGTGGGGACATTCCCAAGTAAATATGGTTAGTATTTTCATCTTTAAGACTAGAGCCTGAGTGCCCTCTTCTGCCTACGACTGGGCCCCACTGGGACTCAATGGGACTTACTTTGAGTTGGCATGGACAGGTCAGTGCTGCTAAAGGTGCAAAACCACCATCATGCTCATTCAGAAATTAAGTTCCACTGAATCCAATGTATTTTGGATTGCACTCTTGATGGGGGTGATGTGGACAACAGTATACTTAGAAAATGAACACTTTATTTCTGTCATTACTATTTTTGTTTTAGTTGAAGGCCACAGGAAACATCCACGTGGAATTATTTTCTCCTCTCAAACACCTGTTTTCTTCCTTCTGTCACCCTGTGTATTAGTTTGCCTGTACCAATCTGTGATGAAACATTTTGAACTAAATAATCTTTTGTGCACTTTGCACAAATGTAGGATTCTGGCAGCCTGATCCTAGCAATACTTACTGAGAAGTGATCTCTATTCATTTCATTGCATGTAGTGTTAATTAAGTTAGAGTCGTAGTAGGGCGCAATCCCGTGCATATTTAGAAATGAAAAAGAAAAAAAAAAGTCCTGAGCTCTCAACATGTCCCACCCAGCCTGGCTTGGGAATGCTGTTGCAAAGGCCTTTTCCCCCTTCCATGTCTAAACACGCGTAGGATTACGAATTTGTTCACCATCCTCCGAAAGACCTCTTGCATCTTTAACTTGTGAGTGCAGGACAGAAATTCAGCCGATGAAGACAGTCCCGACACAAGGGGAATTTCTGCTTGTCATGTACTTATTAAAGACACCGAGAGGCAAGCGGGGAAAACCTCAATCCATTTAGCTCTAGTAATATAATATCATTAATTGCTCAGCTTTTAATCTTACAGATGTTCTGTAACAATAACTGTATGCTAGCTTTTACATTTCCATAAAAATAATGACTATATAGAATTTGTTTAAGAAATTTTGTAAGGTGATGATAATTAAATATATGCAAGCGTTTTATACAACTGTCTTAAAATAAGCATTGGAAAAAGTACTTCAACGCCAATTTCACGCACCTGTGCTGTTTGATTTAGTACATTTTAGTGACAAGAAAGCCTCACTTTGTTCAACGAAACATTATTCCAACAATTCCGCGAAAGATTCCTTAAGGATGATTTGTTTTGGCAAACTCCAGGAAGGAAAAGGGGTGGCGAGGGCGGTATTGGTGTTAATATACGTTAGCAAGTATATTAACGGTATACGCGGTAACAGTCTTGTCATTCTGATGGTTTTCCGAGCCGGGTTTGCTTTGGCAAAGAAGCCAAACTGAGTTCAGCGGGCTCGGCTCCAATTGTGATTTCTGGGTCACCCTGAAGGCTTCGGGCGTCCTGCTCCGAGCAAGAAAGAGTTAAAGAAACAAAGTAACGCGAAACTCTCGCTTGACAGAGTTTGTCCGCTACAGGCCGCCGTAGCAGCTGTAGCTGGGCTGACAGCGTGTGATCATGGCTGCTGCCCGAGCGGGCAAGCTGGAACCGAGCGGAGGCGACGCGCAGGAGGAGGAGGAGGAGGAGAACATCCTCTATGACTTGCTGATCAACACCGAATGGCCGCCGGAGACCGAGGTCCAGGTGGGTCCCTTACCCGCCGCCCCCACCTCGCCGCGTGTAGAGCTGTGCTGAGCAGCACTCATAGTGCCCCAGAGCCAGCCACGTCGCAGGGAGAGAGGTCAGGTCTTGGGAGACGGGTGCGTGTTACTGGCATCCTTCGTTCTCCCTCCGGGCACACGTCCCGACTCTAACGAAGCAGTCCCAGGAGTGTTTACTCGCACGTAACCCTCGCTGTGCCGTATGGGCCTTATAATAACCGGTTTTTAGGATTTATTGCGAACATGCATATCTTGTCTTTCTTCTCTGGTGGGGTTCCCAGATGTTTCCTTATGTAGATTCGTGCTGCACCCACAGTTGCTCAGTTTCAGCAAGACAACTGCCTTGTGTTCCCTAAGACTGGAGCCGGCAACTGGGAAGGAGATTCCACCGTTGAGACCTCTGCATTGGTAAAGCCTAGTGCCCTTGCTGACTCCTGGCCCTTTTGCAAAAGAACGTGGCACCCAAGCCACAGGAACAATGGAAAAACACGAAAAGCAAAATATTTCCCAGAACATGGACACCACTTTTCTTTCTTAAATCTTTGACCTCAAGAGAGATAATATAGTGTATCATGGCCTAGGTCTCTCTGGTTATGTGGTCATGTTAGGTTTGGAACTTCACATGTAGACTTATGCTCTAAATATGTGTGCTGAACTTCATTCAGACATTTGGCATTAAAGAAGATTGCATTGTAAATAAATTGACATTTATTATTCATGAATAAATTAGTAATACATTATTATTTATTTTTTGAATAAAGTTGACCAAGGTGGCTAATAACAAACAAGCAAAATGAAACATCAAACCATCTTATAAAATTGAAAACAGGATAAAAAACAAGCAGGCAAAGAACAGATCTGTAAGCAACCTTTAGCAAGATAAAAAACATTTTTGTCATGTTACAGCTGTATTGAGATTGTCCATTGTTCTTGTGACTGTAGCAATGCAGCACTGAACATTTGGCACACTAAATCACGCACTCTTTCTTCTAGAAATTATCTTTCTAAAAGCTGAAATAGGAACAGAGTTTTATTTGTTTTAAATAGTTGCTCAGCCCAAATATAATTCATAAACCATATTTGTTGGAAGGTTGGTGAATAAGTTCAGTGACTGCAACCTAACTCTTTTCCTGTAATTGCAGCCCAGAGGCAGCCGGAAGCATGGAGCATCATTTATCATCACTAGAGCAATTACAGGTAAATATGCATGGCTTGCTCTGACAGATTGCTCTGTGGATTTTGTTTGACCAAAATGAATGGGGTGTGAATCTATTGGATATGTTAGTGTGTGTTTTTTATTTGATATGTCATGAACCTGTTGTTTTGGGGACCAAATGCAAAAACGATTGCATTCTAATTCTTGGAAAATGCCATCTTCCTTGTAATAGTCCTTAGAAAGCAAAACTTTAGTCCTTGAGGAAATATCCTAGGGACCACTGAATGGCCCTAGAGGTTGGACACAGTGCTCTGATCATGGAATAGGAATTTGGAGATCTGCCCTGCCCTGCAAAGCTTGCCTCCTAGAAGCTAGAGAGAACCATGCAGCTGCCACTCTGGGTCAGAAAATGAGCTTCCAAGAGAAGGAAAGGGGAAGTTCTAGAAGGCAAGGAGGATAGTAGGCAAGCCAGAATATAATTTATCCTGAACCTCCTCTGGCCTCCTTCCTTCCCTTTTCAAAGGATCTATCTAGAGAAAATATAGGAGGATGGGAGCAAATATTGTTTTCCCTGCTTCCACATGCTGGCTTCAGCCCATCAAGGCACAGGTATCTCAAAAGCCCAGGATTTCAGGGGCTTATGAGCTACAAGATCACAGCCTACAGGAATCTGCCCATACTTGGTTTCCTTTCTGTCTTACAGCATCCTCCACCTGTGTTATCATCTCCGACAAGATAATGTTCCATTGACATTTACATATAAACAACATCTGGGTCTTTTGATATGTTGTGGGAAGAGGGGCATCTCTTTACCTCTCTTAGTAAATGGTTACTGTGCATGCTTGCCAGGTTTGCATAACATGACAACCCCAGGTGGAGGCTGCATTTTCAAAATGGTGGCTACATGCAAAACAAGCTCACTTAGGTTAAATAATCCATGGTGCTCCATTGTCCCATGGTGCAGCCCTAGTATATAATGTATGTAATTCCATACTTGTTCTAGGGAGGAATAAATGAACAAGGGAGCCATGGCCTAGGAGCAAAAGCAGCTTGGTAGCAGGCTGTTAGCCAGAACAGGGAAGTTCATGATTTATTTGTCTTCTTTCCTCACAGAGTTAAGAAAAGTTGCCCTACTGCAATATGGAAATATAGGAATTCTAGATACAATTCTTGCAGAACCCATGGTCTACTTTAAGATTATGCAAGGGTTGCTTAACCCTTGCATAACTTAGGCTTGCTGCCTTTGCACATCACAAGAACCCCAAAGTGGGAGTTGCTTCGCCAAAATGGCAACTGCAGGCTTGTCCAAACCTGGTTTGTGTACTAGACTGATACAACAAATTTCATTTATTTGCTACTTATATATACTGCTTCACATCTAAACAGATGATGCTAGTATAAAATAGATGGCAGAACTTCACAGTAATAGAGTTAAGGAAAATGCTGATAAGATAGAAAATTGGTGGAGTAAGAGAATTAAGAAGGTGAGAGTTTGGAAGGAGAAGATGAAGGCAAATACTTTCCCTCTTTACAAGACTGAAGGAAATTGAGGATGGCATGCATAACATCCCATTCAATGTCTTGCTCTTGAGTGTCTGTGGCCTTTTTCTGAAAAACAAATCAAGAGAAGCTATACAAAACTTTTCTACTGTTAAGCTTTCTTTCAAAGATTTGAACAGGGCTTTTTATTTTTTGTCTTTCATCTTTGAATCTAAATCTTTTTCTTCTCTCTCAGGCCCTGCCTTATTTTTGCTACAATATTTGTGGTATAGGTAAGTTGCTTTGTTAAACACAAATTAGCCAAACTTTTGTCTGAAGTTAATTTCTAAGGAGGTATGGTGTTTGAAAAGTTTTATGTTATCCAATTTGTGGCCATGATCTTGTTTGGCTGCTATGGCAAACCTCCATCTCAAAGCATTAATCTCCCAAAATAAATTTTACTAAATATACAAGTTACTGATGGATTTTTGCATATGTGTCCCAAGGATACTGATTCATTGCTGACTATAAGAGTCTGAATGTACTTTAAAAATAACTATTTGGGAGGCTGGATCTATGGAGTTATACATGCTGACAAAAATTTCATTGTACAGATATTAATCTAATGTTCCATATATCCTGCTTTGCAAGAGAAAAGTCTTTCCTATAAAGACAGGAAATGCAGTTAAAAGAATATCAAGTGAACGGATATTTAAAATATGTTAGAATACACATCCATAAATGTGTTGCTTGAGCTTCTCACACTTCCAACATAAGCATATTGGTATTTCCAGACCTGTGAAATCCTCGCTTCCTCATGGACTCATCCGCCTGGTCAGTAAGCAGATCAGTTGGCATGTGGTGCTCGCAAGGTACGTAGCTTTGCTTTACCTTTAGGAGTGTGACTTATGCAAGGGCAGGATTTAGCCTATAAGCAGACTAATTCTTTGTATGTTCTCTATTCCACTTTGGAACTCCCTTGGAATGCTGAAACATGCAAGGAAATTGATTAGGGGAGATTATGTATATGGGTCAGGTGAATCTGCACTCTTCACACTTGTGAAAGAACAGAGGGAATATAAAAATAATATAATATGAGCAGATTTGAGTTTTCCCAAAGCATACAAAAAAGTGGCAAATGAAAAGAGGCAATGATCAGAGAGGAAAGGGGCTTGAATGAGGAGGCAAGGCAAGTTCTGCTATAAAGATGCCTGGAACACGTGTCAGAGGTGGCTGGTGGATGCAAGGGGAAGGAGTCTGGAGAAGAAGCCATGGTAAGCCTAATTCTCTGTTGGGTGCACCGTGGGTTGTTCAGTGAACAACCAACCCATCATGGCTTATTCTCAGGAGTACTTAGTATGGCATGCCAACCCATTCACTTGGTTGAATCCCAACTTAGTCATATTTAAAGTAGATCTGGACTTATCTTGTTACCGTGTATTTTCTACAAAGTTATGTTTCTTCAGTGCTTCCCTGTTCTTATATTATGCTATAAGGCACCATATATGCAAATGCCATTGCATGCATAAATTCTATGTGCCCTGGTAGGTATTTAACAGTTTCAGGGTAGGCCTACATGGCTTTCACGTCTTGACAAAGGAATAAGAGGTCTTCTCCTAAATAATTTTTGTTTTTTGGAGGGAAGGGGACAGACTAAAAGTTTTTCGTTCAGAGGTGAGATCTGTCGTTCAAGTGCGGTTAAAATGAAATGGCTTATAGTAGGAATGCAACTGAGGCCACTGGTTAGGGAGTAGGAATTGGTTTAGAGACTTCCCTCACGAAACCTCTGTGTCTGAGTGTATGTTGGAGGATTTTATTTCCCATAGGCTTTGAATTGAAAATGAGTAATGGCAGTTAGTGCTGACAGGACCACAGGGAAGAATGTTCTGGATAACTTGTCAAAAAGTGTTTCATGAAAGATCTCAAATATATACAAGAGGCTGTGCTGCCTCACATTTTCTCCCCAGTTGAGCAAAATTCACCTCCGGCAAGGACTTAGTAAGCCGCATCATTTTCATTTTAAAGGCACATCTTGAAATGCAACAGGTATTTTCTGAAACGTTTCAGCAGTCAAGGTATCCCCTTCCTGCTACACTCTGCTGTGTGGGAAATGAAGGGACAGTGACAGACCTTTTTATTTAAATGTTATTTTAATTGTTGAATTTATTTATTGATTTTATATTTATGCTGGGATGTTTCCAGTTTTTTATGTAATTGTATAGCTATTTATTTGTATTGGAAGCCGCCCCGAGGCTTTTGCGAATGGGGCAGCATATAAGTATTCCAAATAAATAAATAATAAATAAATATTTTAGGAGGGTAAAAAGAATGCATTCCATGCTATACACATGGGTGAAAGCTGAGGTAGCAAATGGGATAGTGGAAAATGTTTTGGGGCAGCATTTACTGTATCTCACTGCAACATATTTGTAAATCCTTGAGTTTGTGCGAAGATTTTCCTGAGGGCTGCAAGACCTTTTAGAATTACAGACCATGCAGATTTTGGGAGGAATAAGGAAAATACCGATACTAAGTAAAAAGGCAGGCATGTTTCCTAAACTTAATGTAGAATTGTCACGTTCACCTTTCTGGTTGAAATGACTGGAAGGACCTTTGCAGCTTTTAATGAAATGCTTGTGATTGTAGAAAGCTGCATCATGAACTCTGGGCATCCAGGGGCCACTTTGAATGGCCATCTGTGTTTTTAATCACTGTTTAGATGATACTTAGCACAGTCACACAAGGTCTGGCTTGTGAGTCATGGGAGTTGCTGGCACTAATGTGGTATAAAATACTTGATTTTAATTGTTGTATTGAAATTTTTATGATGTCTTAATATGATGCATCTTTTATTGTTATTTTAAGGTGCTATTATGAACCGCCCGGTGAACTTTAGCTGTTGGGTGGTACAGAAATAGAATAGATTGAATGTGATACAGTTCAGGTTCAAATAGCTCACAGATGCTAATACATGCTGACTTTTGATTTATGACCTTCAGTTTATAAAATTTTTCCTGTAATAGTCTGGAAGCACTAACTATTATGTTGAGATTTTCACTGAATCCCATTCTCTTTTAGCAATGGAAAACTGTTAGCGGTTGTTCAAGACCAGTGCATAGAGATAAGGTAAGGTAAATGGCAGTGCAAACCTGTAAATCTTTACATAGAAATAAGCCCATTTGGCTTAAATTGCCCTCACTGCTAGGCAAATGTCTGCAGAATTGTAGCTTAAAATTATACTGGAATCTCTCCCTCCCTCCCACTTTCTCTCTCTTATTTTTTAACAGCCAGAATTTGCAAGGTCATTTGAATTTTAGTAGCCAATTTCATTCTGGAGATTAAGATAGACTCTGCATAAGAGGATGGGGAAACATTGCCCTGGGACATGTCTGGATTTTGATAGTACATCTGAAGACCTTATGAATGTTTGATATTTGCTGCACAGGAAATAATCTACTAAAATTCAAGGTCTTTATCATAGAATGAAATTTATTCATATCAGAGTCAGGATATTCTTTCTGTTTAGCATTTCTTTGTGAAATGTGTAAAGTTTAAAGCCAAATGTGCTGTTACTTGATAGGATTGTTTGAGGTTATGCATTTGGTCAGGAAAAGAAAGACTTTTTTGGTAGTATGTAGAGTACACTCCTTAATGTGGCTGTTATGTACAGTCAAATAGGAAAATGCACCTATGCCTTTCTTCAAGCTCTGAACCCCAAAGCTTCCTTTATGAATGGTTGTCTGTTTCAGCACTGAGCCAGAAATGCAGGAATTCATCTTCCTAAGGAAAAGGGTAGTGCCACGTTACATGGTGTTTATAACAATGTCCCCATTGTGCAGTTTGCCATCTAAGCTGACTCTGCATTTCCCCATTGGTTGATTGATTCAAGACCATCGCACACTTGCTGTATGCTAGAAATGCTAGATCAAAACAAACTTACAGAAATCCCATTATGGAGATGTCCTTGCTGCTCTTATTTCCACACTGTACATTGCTCAAAAATCTCTTCATTTGCTGCACTTGTTCCACTAAGCTCTCTGTGTACGGGTGGCGGTTGCGGCCCTCCAGATGTTTTGACCTACAGCTCCCATCATTCTGCACCATGGACTATGCTGGATAGGACTGATGAGAGTTGTAGACCAAACATCTGCAGACCCCCAAGTTGCCCAGTCCTGCCTTGCTGTGTCACAGGACGTTAGGTGGAAAAACACAGTTGTTGTTGTTAGTCGCAAAGTCATGCCCAACCCATCACAACCCCATGGACAGCATTTCTCCAGGCTCTCCTATCCTCACCACCCCTCAGAGTCCACCCAAGCTCACACCCACTGCCCCCAGTGACTCCAGCCACATCATCCTCTGCTGTCCCCTTCTCCCATCAATCGTTCCCAGCATCAGGGGCTTCTCCAGTGAGTTGTTCCTTCTCATTAGCTGGTATTTGAGTTTCCTCTTCAGTATCTGGCTTTCTAAAGAGCAGTCAGGGTTGATTTCCTTTAAGATTGACTGGTTTGATCTCTTTGCAGTCCAAGGGACTCGCAGGAGTCTCCTCCAGCACCACAATTCAAAGGCCTCAATTCTTTGGCACTCAGCCTTCCTTATGGTCCAGCTTTCACAGCCATACATTGCAACTGGGAAAAACACAACACTAATGCATTTTTATATATATCAAAAAAATCTGCTTGACATAATTTAGTCCATTGTTAATGTACAAAAATGGTGTGCATCTCTTTCCTTGAAAGGAACCGTATGTTCTTGACTTAGAACAAGCAAGAATTGTGAGTCTAGTTTGATATGTAAAATTCAAATCTTGCAGGTCTGCAAAGGATGAATTTGGGTCTGTCATTGGGAAATGTCAAGGTAAGTAATTGAAAGACATCAGAAGAGCCGTGCTGGATTGCAGCATGGTTCCATCTAGTCCATGGTTGTGTTAATACAACAGCTTACCAGCTGCTCCCAGGAAACCCATAAGCAGGAAACGTGTGCCTCTTCCTGCCCAAGTTCCCCAGCAATTTTGACTGTGGTACCAGGCGATACCTTGGAGCTGATAGTGGTAGATAGCCTTTCCTTGCATGAACTTCCCATAGCCCGGTAGATTACTACTGGGCAAGATGAGAGAAGAGGATCCACAACAAACGGTGGTTGTTGGGAATGCAGTCTGCTCCAGATTCCACTTCCTCTGTTCTATTTCTCCTCCAGTTTTCTATCTTCTCAACAGTCAGTCAGTGAGTGTATTCTATGCCCGGTGAGCATTTCCTATCCACATTAGACATTTTTGAGGTGGTTGTTTGTTAAATCTCTTGGGGCTTATTTATTATTTCCAGAGTTCCCTTATCCTACTAATTCTGATTTCTCTCTGTGCATGGTGCCATTTAGCTACAATATTATAGGCACTCTGAGAATGACTTCCCTTCTAGAATACATATTGTGACTGCCATGAAGAGGCTATGTAACTCCTTGTGGGGCTTTTGTTAAATTCTTTGTAAGGCTCAGTTTATTTTATGCCTGTATCTTAAATAAGCAACGTTGTATGCATGGTGAAGTAACAGCTTGTGACTTATTATTGTAGGCTGTGATGATTGGGCAAATCAGATCACTACTATAAAATATGTGAAAAATTACCACTCCCCTGAGCCCCATACGTTTCCCTTTCTTCTGCCATGGTTCTGTTAAAGAATTGGGAGTGTTGATGCCATGGCTAGCAATTACTCCTGTTCCCCTAGCCATTAGAAATTAAGAGTGTTAGGCCTTCACTGTGCTGAAGAACTGCTGTATGTTGGATTCAAAGTAAACAGGAATACATAACTGTGGTATGGACATGCAGAAGGAAAAGCTGCACCCAAATAAAGAGTGCTGTGTCATGCAGCTATTCAGGAGATGTATTCCTCCATCTAGAAGATTTGGCAATGCTACTCATGTGCTATATTAGCCCTGACTTTATGAGTTTACCTTCTCTCCCCTTCACCTGCCTACCACTATAGTCCCAAAGGATCCGAACCCACAGTGGAGACGTGTGGCATGGAGTCATGATTGCACTTTGCTGGCCTATGGTGAAAGCACAGGCACTGTGAGAGTATTCGATTTGGTTGGTAGTGAACTCCTGGTCATCTCACCGGTATTTACTTTTCTTTTTCAGATCTTACAAGTCTGATTTGTATGCAAATAAAAGCTTCTGAGCCATTATAATTTTCATATCATGCAGTTACGTTGAGATCCTCCATTGTGAACCCTTTAGTGTTCATTTTGCTGAATAGTCGTTTTGCATGTTTATGGGTAAATTTGCATTCAGGATTTGCAAGCTGCTTAAACGATCCACATTTATTTTATTTGTTCCGACAATGTTGCCAATATTTTGACTGGAACTGTGGTTGTTGCAGCCCACTAGCAATAGAAATTCCATGCAATGTTGACCGCTTCCTGGAGACCAAAATCTTGCTTGATGCAGCAGTTTAATCATGCCATTTTATTGGGTTATGAATATAGTGGTCAGGCTATCTCATAGGCAGCTTATCATACAGTTGTAGCTTCTTGAAAGCTCAAGGCAAGGTAGCTTCTTAAAGAACCTCTATTATTATTATTAAAAGGAACTTTGTGCTACTAACTTGCTGCTTATATAAGCATTGTTAATACAATGTCACACTGTAAAATAATTGTTTAGTTTTATGTTCCAGATTGGAATATGTTGAAGTCTATTTCTAATCAGCAATACTCAAGAATGTGCATTCTGTACTGAAAGCTGATATGACCGTGTGCATCAGTTGTTGTTTGGCTGTAATATCTTATTTGAGCAATTAAAAATGTAATTAAAAAGATTGATTCAGTTTAGGAAAGAATTTCTACTTTGTGAAATAGCTTTTTAATTCCTTTTCTGAAGGAAGGTCTTGATACATCTTTCATGTGTTTTTCTGGGCTAGGGTACCAGCTGCCCAGGAGACCTAACCTATGCTATTGCAGGATTGATCTTTCTGGAATACAAAGCAAGTGCCCAGTGGTCAGCTGAACTTCTCGTCATCAATTACCGTGGGGAATTAACAAGTTACCTTGTGAGGTAAATGTAACTTTCTGTAATATTTAATCGGGAATCTAGTTTTGGTAAAATAAACAATTTTATTTTTTTCTTGATCTAGCGTTGGAACAAATCAACACTTCCAAGAGAGCCATAGTTTCAGCTTCAGCAGCCATTACATCCATGGAATAACTGCAGTGATCTTTCACCCTACACACCGGTGAGTTTGTTTAGGGTGCAGTTCTGTGACTGGTGGCTGGGGAATGCTGGGAGCTGAAGGACTTTTGTCTGTTTACACTTGCATAAGATTGCACTTTTAGTTTAATTTTTAAACAATGTGTAGTGAAGTGCTTTATGCAATTGGGGTGCATTTTGTAACAAGTCAGGAGTCCTTTCCTCTCCTGATTGATGGAAAGTATCATCAGTACGGTGTAGTGGTTAGAATGTTGAGCTGGACTAGGGAGATCTGGGTTCTAGCCCCCAGTTACCCATGGAGCTCACTTGTGACTTTGGGACAGTCAGAGACTCTCACTTCACAGGGTGGTTGTTGTGAGAATAAAATGGAGAGAAAGAGAACCTTATAAACCTTCCTGAGTTCCTTGCAAGAGGAAGAGAAGTGGTATATAAATGCAATGTGGTGGTGCCATCATTCAGTGGAGTTCACAGAAACTGTTTCCTTTTGCATTTTATGGCTAGAAAATGGTCACATTTGCAGTGTTAGTTCTAGGCATCCCATGAGCTGTAACGCTTAGCAGATGAGCCCTCAGAAAATTACCATGCCAGTGGAGGAAAGTTAAATGAATCTTATGCAGCATGACTCCCATTGTTCAGATGCAACCGCCAGGGATCTTTTGATGTATTTTCCACTTTTTATTTAATTTTTAATCCCATTGTATCCTACTTTCTTCCCATTCTAGTATCAGGAAGGGATGCTGCCTAGACTGAACTGCTGTGCATACTTACCTGGAAGTACACTACAATACTACTTCTGAGTAAACATACATAGGGTTGTGCAGTTCATCATGGCAAGTCTGAGTGCTGTTCTTAGGTTGGAGGATCCAAAACTGGTGCAGAACCTCAGGTGTGGGGGAAAATCTGCTCTTCTGAGAGCCCCCTCTGCATTTCCCTCAAAGACTGCATCATTTCCCTCAAACAATTGGTGGTTTCCCAGCTTCCCTCATTCCTAAAGGTTGAATTGCTTCACCCAAGGTTTACTTACTGGCTTTAAAAACTTTTAAGTTAAAATATCCTGGTACTTTTGGTTTTTCCATTCTACCAGACATTGGAATATGGCCTGGGAAATTTTCTCAACAATCTACTTCAGCCTAGGCTACAAGAAGTTCTGCCCTTCTGGTCCAAAAGCTAAAGTGTTTCAAGAGAAATCCATATAGCTTATTTCCAAGGAGGAGTTTCCACAGTCTCTAAAGGCAGTTGGTCTGTTTGAGTGCTGATATCTTTTCAGTTTTTAAACCCAGTGTTTTCACCCTGCCCTCTGTACTTGTGGTAAATAAAGGTTCAGGACAGTTCAAACAATAGAATAGATTAAAAGCAGGTTAAAAACAACACACAAAATAAAAACTTTAGAGACTGTAAAGAAGACCTAAGGGTTGCTTAAAGTGTCTATAGGAGAAGGAATATTTTTCAGAGATTCTTAAGGGAAAACTTGCTGATGACTTTATATTTGTTCTTTAATCTAAACAAATGTTCACAATAAACTTAATTTCATTTTAGCTCTATTTCCCCCCATCAGCAATAGCCCCACTTTCTCTATTTTTAACAGAAGTGACTGAAAAAAACAAAACAAAATAACCAAAGCAATAACATAAAATTGTTTCCAGAGTGGAACATCAAAATACAGTATTGATGTTTAAACAAACAGCAGAATATGTCACATTCAATAATCTGTGAGGCTGCAGAAAAGCTGCAGTGAAAGAGTTTTTAATGGATGTCTACAAATGTCAAATGAGAACTGCCTCCAGCAGACATCTTCTTCCCCCAGTCCCCTCCTGAAAATCTCCTGAGGAGGGCTGTGGAACTTTCCAGAAGAGAGAAGAGGGGCAGCCAGCTGTTTTGCACTGGCAAAAATTGCCTCCCCTTCCTTTTCTACTGCTGGGAGTGTCTTGGATGAAACTCTCTCTGGTTGGTATGAAAACTCAGGATCCAACCAATGCGACCTTCCAGTAAGCCTATGTGTGGTGTTCCCTTCACTTTACAGAAGTCTCTTAGAGCCCTCTGAGTGGAATGTGTTGCTCTCCTTACATTAAACTGACTTGCTGGGCATAATCTTGAGGACACAGTGAGGCTCATGGGCAATGCTGATAACTCCCAAATGGCCTTTATGTCTACCCTGTCCTGCCCCGGCTTGTCTTTGTAAATGATTATCCAGAAATGTTAGCATTTCTTTCTAGGAAGATCATGTTATGTTGCCAAATATGTTTGCTTTTTTTTTGTTTTGTTTTGTTTTTAAACTTATATACCACAACCCATAGCCCAATTTAAGGCTCTCTGGCCGGTGTACATTACATTAAAAATCAGTAATACAATTAAAAAGTCCAATAGTAATAAGCATAGCAGTTTAAAATCAATTTAAATTAATAGAAATATAAACAATATAAAATATATATTAAATTTCTTAAATTATTAAAAGACCTAGAAAATAGGAGTGTCTTTGCCTTGTGCTGGAACAAGGGTGCCAGGTGAACTTCTTTGGGGAGTCTGTTCCAGAGTTGAGCCACATCCACCAAGAAGGTGGTTCTTCTATTTGCCATCTCCCTCATTCTTTGGAGGATGGTTCCCTAGGAAGGGACTCTGACTTAGATCTTAAAGATCTTAAACTGACTAAAGGTTACTTTTGAATATCAGACGAAGCCTCCCTCTACACTTTGGTAACTTTTTTCAAGTGCAGAATAAGCTAAAGAGAAGAGTGTTGTGTTCACCTGTTGGTCTTTAAAACTTTTGCAAATACGTTGATATTTATTTATTTATTTGTTTGTTTGTTTGTTTGTTTGGCTTCTATGCTGCCCCATTCGCCAGAGCCTTGGGGCGGCTCACAATAATAAATAAGCGCAGTATAAAACAATATAACAATATTTAGATTTTAATGTGTTCCTGCCATGTTTGAAACAGATTTACTTCTAAGTGAGCTTTGGAGTTTTGCCCATTACTCAGACAGAACTACAAGAATTTAATAAGCAAAGCTTTTCATTTTTCTCTTTCTTTCAATGCGTCAGGGTAAGGTGGAGGGTATGGAAGGCAAGCTAATAAACTGCTTTATGACTATATTGCTTGAAGGTGGGACATACCTTGTGTTGCACCATTTCCCTTCATTTCTTTTCTTGTTTTGAATATTTTGAACTCAGCTAAAAATATTCCATTCATGTTCAATTCTTTCTTAACGAGGCTGTCATTCCCCATAGATTTCTTTGGTGATGGAAGCTGACAGCAAATAGACAATTTAATCACTTTTCTGAGAGAGTATGGATTTTTTTTCAGCAGAACTGATATTGAAGATTATTCTGTGTGGTAGGAAGTGTGTTGCTATCATTTTTACAGCCTCCAGAAACAACTTCAGCCCTTCCAGTGCAATATTAAAAGGAATGCTGTTAAACTGTACTTGTGTGAACTTGAGCTGAAACTGCTCTTGCTGGGCCAAGTGCTCTCTGATACCACACAGAAGCAGCATTTTGTATTTCACCAACTGAAGAACAGAATGTATAAAGGGCAACTTTCCAGGCTTGTGTTGTGTTCTTGCATTGTACCATGAAATGGAATCTAGCATGGGAGTAACCCAGGTTCATTACTTCATAGCTTGCATTATGTACTGTAGGGGGGAAAAGGAATGGGCCTCTGGTGCAAAGTATTTTTCAGAGGGCAAAAGTCACCTGGGGAGGAGATGGGTTTAGTCTCCATCCTGATTATGGAGTAAATTCGATGTACTTTCATCTGGGAAAGTGGTTGTCTTGCATTCATATGGGGAAAAGTAAAGCATTTTATTTGGAGCAGATGCTGTGGCATGGCCAAAACCTGCACACTAACTCTGATTCTGGATGTCTCCACTTTCACTGCCAGTCTGCATGAGATGGCAGCCCATGGCCGGTTGTACATGCTGCTTCCACTGTTTCTTAGCAATCTATGATCGGCTCTGTTGTAGGTTGCTTTGTGTAGCATCAGAACCCAGAATTCCAGTTTGTTTAGGGACTAAACAACTCAGCAGATAAGCTATTATCAAACGATGGCTCATGCAAACTAGGCCATTGAAATAGATTTATGCACAGCTGGTATCTTTGTGTAGAGTTCATGGGTGCCCTCCAACCCTTGGCATCTCTGCAGTGTACCTGTTAAAATGAAGGTTTCAGTAGCTGTAAGTTACTGAAGTAGTTACAGCTACTTACAGCTAGTAACTTATTATTCCTAGGCTGAAGTTATTATGTCTAGTCCATTTCTCATGCATAATACAAATATCGACAAGATCATTTCCTGTTCATTTTTGACATCACTGATATGGCAAAAGAGGTAGCAGCAGTTGCATTTTGTAATCTTTACTATTTTTTATTAGGAAATATTAGTACAATAGGAAAGTGACTTGTTGTAGATTGTAATGTCAAACCATGATTTGGGAGTATGAGATTGAATCTGGTAGGGACTTTTCCCTATTATGTGTTAATAAATTCCTGGCTTTGTTTTTGCTTTTTGGGAGCAAAACCATTGTGTGCTGCACTATCGGAACTGTCAAAATTATGGTTTGTACCATATCTAATGGTTGTATCTAATGTTAGCCCTACTTACAGGGCTGGCTGGCAATATTTAAGAATTTAAACCCCATTACAAAAAGTTTGCCTCCTGTCTTTGTATGAGTTTATAGTACTTCTGCTTCTTCTTTGTAAACTAGCATCTTGTACACTAACATAATACTGCCAGATTTTAAAGTTATTCTCTTTTATGTGCCATCTAGGTATTTTTCTGTTTCTGTGCTGTTAGCATTTAGACTGCTGCTGACACAACACTGGCTCTCTCTGTCTCTTACTGCATCCTTTTCACATCATTTAACAGAACAATTCATACATAGTCTGTTTCCTGTTACATTATAAATGGTTTGAATACTTTCTTTCCAGTTGCACCCTATCTGTAGAAAATCTTTCATTCAATGCTTCCAGTGCGGTGTTGATATTCATCTCTTTAAAGTGTATATTGTTATTCTTGCAGGCATATCTTTTGACAGTA